CCAGGAGACTAACACAGTCACCAAGCAGAGCCATGCACACACCTACAGTACCAATTCAGGAGAAGAAAAGCATCAGAGCATCTCTGCCAACTCCAAAGCAGAAACTGCACCTAACAGAAAGTTTAACTGAACCTAAAAGACCAGCACGAACTCCTAAGGCAAACATGCAGCCTTTGGATGACCTGGCTGGCTTCCAAGCGCTCTTCCAAACACCAGGCTGTGCCAAGGACTCAGTGACTGAACCAGACACCAGCAAAACACCCTGTGGACCTTCACAGTCAGGACCAGTGGAATCTTCAACAGCTTCAAAGAGATGTTCTAAGATAAGTCTGGGAAAAATAGATGGGGAAGAAGGGCTTTCAAAACCCAGGAGACTAACACAGTCACCAAGCAGAGCCATGCACACACCTACAATACCAGTTCAGGAGAAGAGAGGCATCAGAGCATCTCTGCCAACTCCAAAGCAGAAACTGGACCTAACAGAAAGTTTAACTGAACCTAAAAGACCAGCACGAACTCCTAAGGCAAAAGCTCAGCCTGTTGAGGACCTAGATGGCTTCCAGGAGCTCTTCCAAACACCAGGCCATGCCAAGGACTCTGTGACTGAACAAGATACTGCCAAAACACCCCATGGATCTTCACAGTCAGCACCAGTGCATACTTCAACAGCCTCAAAGAGACGTTCTAAGATAAGTCTGGGAAAAATGGATGGGGAAGAAGGGCTCTCAACACCCAGGAGACTAACACAGTCACCAAGCAGAGCTATGCGCACACCTACAGAACCAATTCAGAAGAGAGGCATCAGAGCATCAGTGCCAACTTCAGAGCAGAAACTGGACCTGACAGAAAGTTTAACTGAACCTAAAAGATCAGCACAGACTCCTAAGGCAAATGTCCAGCCTCTGGAGGACCTGGCTGGCTTCCAAGAGCTCTTCCAAACACCAGGCTGTACCAAGGACCGAGTGGCTTCTGAGAAAACTCCAAGACTGCTCTGTAGATCTCCACAACTAGGATTGGTAGATTCCCCAACTTCAAAGAGATGTCGTAAGACAAGTCTGGGGAAAGTGGATGTGAGAGAACCCTCACTAGAGAGAGAGCTAACTCAGATGTCGGAGAAAACCATGTCTACATCTAAAATGAAAGTAGATGGTGGTGACAAAAGCCTCTGCTGTGAGACCTCTGCAGGACAGACACTGGACCTAGCCACAAAAGAGTCTGGTGGCAGGAGACAGCGAAGAACAACCAAGGTAAAGGCTGAGCTTCTAGAAGATCTGACTGGCTTCCAAGAGCTCTTCCAAACACCAGGTGATGCCAAGGACCCAATGACTGTTGATAAAACCACAAAAATGCCCTACACTTCTCTACATCCAGGGCTACTCAGAACATCACCAACCTTAAACAGATGTCCCAGGACAAGTCTGGGGGCAGTAGACATGAGAGAAGAGCTCTCAGCCCCCATGAAACTAATACAGTCACCAGGCAAAGCTTTGCACATACCTCTAGTACCAGTTCAGAAGGAGAAAAGTGTCAGAATATCTGCTGAAACTCCAGTGCAGAAACTAAATCCAAGAGAAAATTTAAGTGGACTTAAGAGACAGCCACGAACACCTAAGGCAAAGGCTCATGTCCTAGAAGATCTGACTGGCTTCCAAAAGCTCTTTCAAACACCTGATCCTGCCAATCACCCAGTAACTCTTGGTGAAACTCCAGAAATGCCCTGCATATCTCTGCAAGCAGAATCAGTAGACACTCCAGCAAAAGTGGTGAGGTGGTCAACAAGTCTGGAGGGAAAAAATGTGAAAAATCACTTGGCAGTAATAAATGTAACACAAATATCTGGGAAAATTGCACACACGTATGAAGAGCCCACAGATGATAAAGAGAGTCAAATGTTTAAGAAATCTTCAAAGCGGAAACTGGACACAGCAGAAAGTGTTACTGGCAACAAAAGGCTGAGAGGAGAATCCAAGAAAAATTCTCAATCCCTAGAAGACTTAACTGGCTTCAAAGAGCTCTTTCAAACACCAGGTCACACTGAGGAATCAGTGAGTGATGAACAAACTACAAAAATGCCTTGCAAATCAGAACCAGAATCAGTGGACTCCCCCAGAAGGAAAAAAGCATTGCCCAGCATACCCAGGGGGAAAAGGGATATGAAAGAAAAACAAATCATACATACACCAAAAGCAACAGAAGATGATGACAAAGGCATCCAAGCTTTTAAGGAATCTGCAAAGCAGACACTGGATCTAGCAACAAATGTATCTGGCAGCAGGAGATGGCCAAGAACACCTGAGATAAAGGCCCAGGTTCTGGAAGACCTTACTACCTTCCGAGAGCTCTTCCAAACACCAGACTATGCCGAAGAACCAATAGCATCTGACGAAATTACAAAAATGCCCTGCATATCTCTGCAACCAGGGCCACTGTATACTCCAACAACCTCAAAGAGACATTCTAAGGCAAGTCTGGGGAAAACAGATGGGAAAAAAGAGCTGCCATCACTCAAGAGACAAATGCAATCCCCAGGGAGAGCCATGCACACACCTTCAGTACTAGTTCAGGAGCAGGGAGGCGTCAGAGCATCTACAGAAACTCCAAACCAAAAGCTGCACCCAGGAGAAAATTTAAAAGGACTTAAGAGACAGCCACGAACACCTAAGGCAAAGGCCCATATCCTAGAAGACCTGACTGGCTTCCGGGAGCTCTTTCAAACACCTGATCATGCCAATGGCCCAATAACAGAAAATTTAACTGGGCCTGGGAAACAGCCACGAACACCTAAGACAAAGGCCCAGCCTCTGGAAGATCTATCTGGTTTGCAAGAACTCTTTCAAACACCAGGCTGCCATTCTAGGAGCCCACTACCTGAACATGAAACCCATAAAACACCCTGCAGATCTCCCCAGTCACCACCAATTGATACTGCAATATCCTCAAGGAGACATTCTAAGATAAGTCTAGGGAAAATAGATATGAAAGAAGAGCTGTCATCACTCAGAAAGCTAACACAGTCTCCAGGTAAAACCATGCATACACCTTTGGTACCAGTTCAGGAGCAGAAACGCATCAGAGTGTCTACAGGAACTCCAGAGCAACAGTTAGCTCTGACAGAAAATTTAAATGGCCTTAAGAGACGTCCACAAACACCTAAGACAAAGGCCCAGCCTCTAGAAGACCTGGCTGGCTTCCAAGAGCTCTTCCAAACACCAAACCATGCCAAAGACCTAGTGACTACTGTCAAAACACCCCACAGATCTCAGTCAACACCAGTGGGTACTGTAACAACCTCGAAGAGATGTCCTAAAAAACATATAGGAAAAGGGGATGTGAAAGCAGAGCTTTCAGCGGTGAGAGAACGGACATTGAAGGATACCATGCACACACTCAAAGAAGCCATAGATGATAAACACAAGAAAGTGTTTAAGGAATCTGCCAAGCGAAAACTGAACCCAGCAGAAAGTGTAACTGGCACCAAGAGGCTGCGGCGAGCACCCAAGGAAAAGACCCAAACCTTAGATGACCTGTGTGGGTTGCAAGAGCTCTTCCAAACGCCAGGTTACACTGAAGAATCTGTGAGTGATGAAAAGGCTACAGTAATGTCTTGCAAGTCTCCACAATCTGAATCAGTCGGAACCCTAACAAAGACAAGGAGAGGCCCCAGGACAAGACTCAGAAAGGTGAATGTGAAGGAAGATTCCTCAGCAGTGCGAAAATCAACACGAACATCGAAGGCCATTACTCACACCTCTAAAGTACCAGAAGATGATGATAAAGGCATTAAACCTTTAAAGGAAATTGAACAGAAAACGTTGGACCTTGCTGCAGGTGTAAGTGGCAGCAGGAGATGGCCAAGAGCAGCCAAAGCAAAAGCTCAGCCCATACAAGACACAAGTAGCTCCAAAAAACTGAGCCAAACATCGGGCCACACTGAGGAATCAGTGAGAGATGAAAAAACCACAAAAACGCCTTGCAAATCTCCACAACAAGTGCCAGGGGACACTTCAGCAGCCTCAAAGAGACGACCCAGGACAAGATTTGGGAAGGTAGATGTGACAGAAGAACTCTCAACACAGCGAAAGCAAAGAGCAACATCAGGGGAGACCATGAACACACACAAAGAACCTCCAAGTGATAGTAAAGGTAGCAAAGAATTTAAGGAATCTGCCAAGCGAAAACGGGACCACAAAGAAAATATAACTGGCAGCAAGAGGCTGCGAGGGACACATAAGAAAATGACCCAACTTCTTGAAGATCTGGCTAGCTCCAAAGAACTAATCCAAAAACCAACTTACACTGAGGAATCACTGAGCAATGAGAAAACCACAAAAATGCCCTGCAAATCTTCACAACCAGAACCAGCAGACACTCCAGTAAGCACAAAGAGGCAACTCAGGACAAGACTTGGGAATGTGAATGTAAAAGAAGGACTCTCAGTTGTGAGGAAGCCAACACGAATGTCCAGGGCCACCACCCGCACCTCCAAAATGCCAGAAGGTGATGACAAAGACATCAAAGCTTTTAAGGAACCTTCAGAACAGACGCTGAACCCAGCCATTAGTGTTACAAGCACCAGGAGGAACGTAAGAGCATCTAAGGCAAAGTCACAAGTGGAAGACCTATCCAGCCCTAAAGAAAGAATCCAAACACCAGACCATACTGTAGAACAGATGAATGATGTTCATAACCCAAAGAGCACTCCACAACAAATACCTGACAGTATAAAACCTCTGAAGACTTCTAGAAGGGTTCTTAGGGTTCCTAAAGAAAAACCGATAGAAGATTTGGTGGACACCAAAGGCCCTGCAGCATCACAAAATGTAAGTAACATGTCGTTAGCCCCCAAGTTGAAATCTGGAAAAAACATAGGAACCAGGGGTGTGTGTTCTGTGATAACACCACGGGAGCCAATAAAAGAGAATCTGGTCCACAATAAACAGGACTGCTCCCAGGGAGAGACACCAATCCCCTGATCCTTTAAACATAGTGAAGAAACGTGTAAGCATTATTATAAACAGAATTGAACCTGTAGAAGAACAGAACAACAGTGTGAAATCTATCAAAAAGGAACAAGACTCAGCCACTCCAAATAAGGCGATGGGAAATGTTACATAATTATTATGTGTCATCTTGGATGGATGTCATTCTTTTCTGTATAGTAATTTATACAGGTTCTGAAATATACAAGTAGAAGTGGATATCCTTTTCACAGGTGTTTCTTTTGAATAGTATCAATAACTGATAAAAGGTTCTGATAAGACTTTCTGGGATTTATACAGCAATTAGACTAGTTCTGTAAAAGAATTAGTCAAAATAATAATTGCTTCCTTGAGGGGTTATTACAGTGAGAAAATTATGTTCATCTTTACTTTAAAAAATTAAACAGAAAAAAGGTGGACTGTTCATGAACTATTACCAAGGCCAGGGATGGCTACAAAAAGAATACATGCTAGTGTTTTAACAGTGACAATAGTCTCAAAGGATTGTGGGAGACAACAAAATTATGAATACCATAGCATCCAAAATTCCAGAAATACAGAGTTCCTGTTTCATGTCAGCCATCATCATTAAAGGACTAGAATTCATTTGTCATTTATGTAATGGGATAGTTTGCAATAATGTAAACTGTAGTTATTTAGATTTGATTATTTTCTCCCTGTTGAATTGGGTGATGTGTTTTACTCATTTTTGGAATTTTGAGGATGTCATTTCATTTCTTTAGGGAATGTCCTTACGCACCAGACACCAAAATAAAACTGATACAAACCAGCAAAACCTTGAAATTCCTACATCAGAAAAGGCCAAAATAAAGAGACGTGAAAAGAAGTCCATGAAGACATCTGAAGAGATAGAGCAACAGATCCCTGGTGATGGAGCTGGGAAACCTACATTTAAGGGCAAAGTCAGTGGAAACAGGGTATGCTTGAGATCGGGAAGACAGAATAAGAACTCCCAGCTTCACATAGCAGAGGAGGATGTAAAGGAGAACAGCATGGATATCCCTGTGAAGAATCAGAAAGAGAAAGAAGTAACCAATAATTCAGTCACTGTGAGTTTAAGATCTAAAAGGGCTGGAATTCAGCCAAAAGGAAACACTTTGGAGAGTGACTCTGAGCAAAGAATAACTCAAGGTACCAAGAGATGTACAGAAAATCCAAAGAAGGTATGTATTTCACTGTTAAAAAAACAAAATATTTGGGTATATTTATGACCACTGTTGCAAAGGCAAATGAAAAACATATTTAGCATCATGGTGCCAGTTCTAAGTTGTAGAAGAAGCATCACTCTAAGCCGTGAATTTTATTCTGGTAGCTATATTTTCTTATGTCAGTTTTGGGAATTTTCCTTCAATTAATGGTTTCGTGTTCTGGGAGACATTCTGAAAGATCTAAGCATTTATTTGGTTACCACTCTTTCTGCTTATGATGCAGCTTGTATGAAGATTACAGGTTATGTCTTAAGTCTGTCTTCAATTCATCAAAATTTACTAAAGCAAAAAGTGGCCATGTCTGGAGATCAAAGGACTTCTTTTGGAAAGCCAGAATAAACAAAGGCTGGGGGTCCTGAAGGCAAATTGTATTCTAAATTCTGCTCTGTAGGAAGTACATGTGTGATTTCACTCTTCCTAACCAAATAAGGGCTATGCTAATGAACTATATGTGATACTAAAATGAGATCAAATTTATTAGCTCATGAATTACCTATAATTTGAATAATCCATAATGTGTGACTATGTTCAATTCATATTCTGAGGAATGCATGGTTTAGTTTAATAAAAGAGGTGGACAGTACTTTTTTGTGAATGCTATATAACTGTTCTTAGCATATAGGTGTTGAACTTAAAACTACTCTATTCTGACATCAGCCAATGAAATGAAGATAGCAACTGGCACTTTGGCTACGCAGTTTCGGTATTGTGGACATCTCTGCATTTGTTTAGACTGATGGTGTCTAGAACAAGTCATGAACTTGAACTGACCCCTCTGAGAGTCAACATTCCCAGATGTTCCCAGCACTTACCATAGTCAACAAGGGATTAAGCAGGAGGATCCTTCTTGCTGGCTGGTAGCAAGAAGTCTTTGGGAGGAGGTATGGGTAGAATGTTCCAAAGGATGGGGAGCAGAATGGTGTCCATGCATGTGCCAGAAATTAGGTTGGTTGGAAGGCAAAGCTATCTGACAGTAGCAAGACACGATCACAGAGACCAAGGAGATACCAGGATCTCAAACAGCTTCATGTGGTTAGTATACACCTTCTGTTCCAATTTTAAATAAAATTTAGGATCTACACACTTACAGATTGATAGCTTGAAGAGTAGTGCCTTATCAGAATGAAACTGAAGGATCAAAAACCAATCTCCTTTTCACGTGGATGATTTTACATACACAGCCACCAGGACCCAAGGGTGGCCCAGACCTAGCTCTTCTGTCAGGAGCTCTTGGGCCTCTTCTCTGCAGCCACCAGCACCCAGGAGACTCCAAACACACTGAAGGGTTTCTCCAGGGCTGGGTACTTAGTGGGGTCTATCATGTGTTTTGGCTGTCCATAGACTTGGAAACTGTATATGAGATTTGTATTAAATTTCTCCAAGCAAGAGTTTACAACTTTTCAGTGGTATCTTCCCCCTTAGCTGAAGCACGTAACATCTGTAACAGCAAATAGCAAGAGGCATGCAAAGGCTGGAAAGCCAGCTAAGGGTGAGGTGGATATTGCCTGGCATTGATGAGAAAAGCAAATGTCTTTTCATAGGTGACAGATCGTACTGAGGCTGAGGAAGGGCCACAGGAAGGGATGGTCAGAGACTGCAGGCCTGGGCTGTTGCTAAAATTCAACATACATGCAAAGGCACAGGAGATATGCTTGTTACACGCTAGAATAGTAGCAAGAATGCTGACCAAGTCTACTTTCAGGGTTTCATTTAAGGTCCCTGCCACCCTAGAGTCCTGAAGGAGTGACTACAGGTAGCGGAGGTGGCATCTTGCTCCTGCCCTGTGTTCAGCAGAAACACATGGTAGAATCTACCCCAAGTAGTCCATCAGAGGAGCAAGTCCTCCCTTTTTAGCATGTATATTTATCCTTGTTATCATCCATGTTGCAGATTTCCTGCTTAGTGCTTCTCTTCTATTATGTAGTATAGCCTTAACAAATTTAAAATCTTTTCCATTCAAATTAAACTTTGCATTTTTTGATTTGTTGTCTTCTTGTTCTGTCACTTGCTTTTCACTTAGTTTGAAGTGATTATCCATGGTCACTTCATAATCTTTTAAGGTATGCTTCTTTCACACTTGGATTTTTCTAATTGGATTTTTTTGGGGTTGTGTTTGGTGGGGCCTCCATTCTGAAAAGAGAAGATTATCTTGTTTCTTTAACATTAAGTTTGTAGGTGGATGAGCTTCTATCACCAGCTCTTCAGGAGAAGATGCCCCCTTGCTTAGGATATACTTTAGGAAGTCTCAGACCACAATCAATACTCACAGATTGTCCTCTTTGTAGGAGGAGTGTGGTTTAACAGTCAAAAGTGTTAATCCTTGTTAAATTCACTTTTTCTGAATGATATTTTCAATTGGTAAAAATGTGTACATTGGTAAAGCAGCTGGTTTTTTGTATTTAGTAGCTTTTGCTTAGTAAGATATAATATTAAACTTTAAGAAACTAAATAAAATATTTAGAAAAGTTTCAGGTCGTATATCCTAAAACTGATTTCCATCCTTCAATTTTTTAGAAGTAACAAAGGCACAGTACCTGATAAGGATTTGGAGTTTTACAGAGTAGGGTTGATCACAAAAATTGTTTTTTTTTTTTTAATTACTCAAGAATTGTTTTTCTTCCCAAACAGGATAAGGACATCATGGACACCAAGAAAATAAGAACCAGAAGTCATCGGAACATTGAAAATATTTAGCAAATAAATTTAAGAAAGAAAAATATGTAATATTTTAGCCATAAGTTCTAGTTTTATGTTTACCAACAATGTAAAAGTGAACTCTGTAAATAATTATATCAGTGTATTTAAGGGAAGAAACCTTAGAATCTTTTAGCTTTGCATCTTGGTGATAACCGCATCTTGCCCAGCAAATGATTCTGGCTTACATTCCAAACCTTACCCTGTAAAGTCCTGAAGACAGCTGAGCACCTGGTGCCAGGCACTGATGGTACCTGGGCTGTTTCTTAACTGACCTCTAACGTATTAAGAGTTCTTGACAAAGCCCACATACATACCTTTGTCTAGCGTAGCATATAAGCCCCTTCCTCTTGTCTCTGAATCTATGAATCCTGTGTCCTTGCTGGCTGACACAGGCTTTATCCATTTTGTCCATTAATTTCTTAATAAATTGCATACTTTGTTAAAAAATAAAAATTTTCTTGCTCTGAATTGTCTTTAAAAGCCAGCAAAAAGCCGTGCGGGGAGTTTCTGGGTCTCCAATTTAAATGTTTGGTATTGGACTGGCAAAGGTGCAGCCCTGTGTGTTGCAAAATAAAGCCCCCAATTTATCATTTCCTGAGGTCAGTGTCTGTTGGCCTCTCTGTAGCGCTTGATATACTGCATGGTTGTTGCTTATGTGTTTGTGTTTTCCATCTCCATGGAAATGAATAATAGGGACTTTTATCTTTTTGCCCCAAAATTGAGTGATTCTCAGCAGCCGTTAATATAATTCCAGTGATTACACCAGTGGAATTTACTAAGTATTTCTATATAGGAGGGCATTTGGTCCCAACACTTGGGCTATTGGCCATCTATATAAGACAGTTCAATCCTTGGTGTCCTCAACCTTTAAGAGGTTTGAAGGATGGCCACTGAGACCATCTTTGGGATGACAAAGTTACTCTGTTTAGCTAATGATGAGTGGCTTGCCTTTTACATTAAGAGTCTGCCAACACCCACAATGGTCTCTGCCCATGAAATGGGGCTGTTGACTAGCTTGCCACTTGAATCTAAGCTGTGACACCTCACTCTGCATCTGTCTGGAGTCCTGTCCATCTGTCCCCCCTGCTAGGTGAGGATGGCAGACTGGACAAAGTAGCTATCATCTAGAGCAGTGATAGTAAACGTTTTAGTAAACGAGTACCCAAAGTGCAACCCAAAACTCATTTATCACAAAGTGCCAATACTGAGGTTCTACTTTAGAAAACACAGCTCATACATTGACATCTTTTGTCTTAAAAGTACAATAACAGCATTCAATGATAAAACAGCTTTTTATTAAAAGTTTGCATTTGACATGCTTTTTTGCACAATTAATGTGATGTTTGCTGTTGCATCTATGCTGATAATTGGTCAAACCTTGGCTGGAGCGACTTAGCTTGCATGCCGGCAGGGCTCTATAACTGCTGCAGCACTTGCATCATAGGTTCATCACTACTGATCTAGAATGAACATACGCAGAAGTGTGGTGCCCTGTCTATCTGTTCACTTTCATACCTTGTCTGTCTGGCATGTAGTAAATGTTTGTTGAGTGAAGTTAGGAATCTAACAGCTTTTGTCCAAATCACTGGTAGTTACTTTTGCTGTACTGGCTGCTATGAGTGAGTTCTGAGTACTTGTGGTCATAATGGAGAGTGATAGATTATGTTGAAGGAAAGTTACAGAACAAGGCAGGGAGGGCACATCTGAAAGGGTAGATACTGAGTAGGTGATAGAGTATGTCTTCTGTTAAAAGTAGGTGACCGCTGAACTTCCAAAGAAGAGTGGGCTTGTACGTAGCACTAGGTACAAAGAAGAGGACTTTAGAGGAGAACTTTGCTGGACTGTGTAAGACATCAGTGTATCCTTGATTGGCTTAAGCCTTTGATGTTATCCTTTAATAGAAATACAGCATTGAGTAAGTTGCCCTAACACTTGAAATTTAGCAGTAATTAAGGCCCTTATTCATAGAAAAATTTTAATCAACCACATGCCTGTGAAATGGAAAATTCTGATAAATGAAAAGCACCTTTAGAGTTTAATTCTAATAAATCTTGCAGAAATATATCCGCATACTTTCTTCCTTTGATAAATATATTCCAAAAGGGAATTGTTTCATTTTACAGAGCTGTAGGTGATGGCTTAGAAAAGCTCATTCAATGGTGACACCAATGTCAGACACCCACAGAATACACCCTTCATTTAATACTTTAGTGGGGGAGCAACTGACAAATGTCATCTATTCACCTAGGCTAATTGTATGTGAGGGCAAGGACAATAAATGCCCACCCACTCCATGTGGTTTATTTTGCTAACTTTTCCGAGCCTCAGTTTCCATGTAGCAGCATAGATGGGAACTTCCCAAGAAAAGTTATCTCTATTATTTTGCCACCAATCACCAGTGTAAGCTGGCCCCTCAGTCTCTGATAGGCTTTTTTTGCTCTAATTTGTACCTGTCATGTAATGCCTCTACTAGGTGGGTGCCTATCCCACATATCTTGCTCTTTTCCCTGCCTGGAAAACTCCATCCTTCTTCCTCCACCATCATTCCTTCTAATGCTGAGCACAGTTCCAGGAAGGATTCTAGGTCTCCATACCTAATGCCTCCTTAAGCTGGAGCAGTTCCTTGGTTTGCCATGGAGTCATCCTGTACTTCTTGGTAGCATATAGCAAAGTTGAAATGAAACCACTAGCTGAGCTTCTCTCACTCCTGCTAGGGCAGTAAGCTTTGTTTATCTGCCAAGACAGACATGTATTTCATAGTGACAGTAGCCCCACTGGATATTCCAAGTGAAGTATCTGATTGGTGAAATGGTCCTAAAAACTAGTGTTTTTATAAGGAAAACTGAAAACTAGTATTATAAAGAAAATAGGAAAAAGAAAGCAAAAAAGCAAACTAAACAATGGCATGGGAAGGATGGGACAAGGTCAAGGTGCTTGATGCACTATGGTCCTGTGTTCATTTGTACAATTCTGATGTAGCTAAACAGTTACTTTCTCCCTGCCAGTAAGTCCCTGGACATTTTTAGTCCTACTGAAATGGCCTCTCTTCTCTAATATTTAGAGAAGAGAACTATTTGCAACCTTAGCCATGTCTGATTTCTAAGGAGAGGCAGCAGGCTAAGGGGCCGGGGTATAGTCCAGGGCAGCCAAAAACAGCAGATGAAATCCAGCCAGTATCTTAACTAACAGTGCAACTTTAGTCTTGATCTTGGAGGAAATGAAGGTGGGTCATGGAGGAGGGGGTTGGAGGGTTCAGCTCATTCTGCAGAAGTGGTCTTTCCAATAAAGCCCAAGGAAGGTCTTCAGATGTGGGCCTGTCTGGGGCTCTACTCATTGGAAGGCTCATTGGAAGGCTGAGGAAGGGAAGAGGGAGGTGTCCTTAGAGATCACTACATCCAGGGCCGAGCAATTCAGAACCTCATGAAATTGTCACGGAGAATCAATATCCCAAATGACAACTTTCAAATGCAAATTTGAGAACTAAAAATGATTTAAGGTAGTGTGGCTGGATCCTACCATTAGCTGGGTTTTCTGGCTGAGTCTTGATGGGTCTGGTTAGAGCTCCAAGGATCCCAGGTGCCAATGCTGTGCAGATACTTCCAGACCCTGAACATCTCCAGGGCACAGTCACTGTCTCCCCTCCTATATCTCCAGCAACAAGAACCATGCCCGCACACAATTCTCAGCCATTTGTCAGTGAGGATTTCATTCATTTGCTCTTCAAAAAGGAACTAATGTGCCCATAAGCTAGTCATATGAAACACTGCCCCCTGCTGTACCCACTATGACTTCCTAGGAATGAACTTCTGAATTGATTAAGTCTTCTGTTGCTTGGCAAGAGCAAAATCAGCCAACCTATCTCAGATTGACATGTCCCAAACCTATGATTTTCAACCCTGAATTCAGGGTAAGTGGATGCTTGCTCCCTGTGGCTCTCTAGTGGGACTCCAAAGGGACATCCAGATTGAGTTGTTGGTGTCACTCACAGAACAAACAAGCCGAAACCATATTGGCTGCACTTTCCCATTTGGGTGACTGAGAGACTCACTACAGAGTCACTGGTGTGGCCATATTGGCCTCTCCCATAGATCCAAAGTGCCCTAAAATCTGTCCTAATTCATCTTACCTGTCTACCTGGGGTCAGGGCAGGTGTTCCTTTATCACCTATAAAATTAATCTGAGGTCTGGAAAGCACTCCATACCTTTCCAGAACTGGCAAATCTCTACAGAGGGATTTCCAGGAAGATGGTGGAGTGGTAAGCAGCAACAAATCAACTTCTCCAAGATTCAAAATCCAGACACTGGAAAATAACAACTTGGAAAGAAACAGGGAAGAGGATCACTGGGACCCAGGAAGGATCTGAAGGGAAAATTGGAGCCCATAGAGAAAGTGACGAGACAGACCCCAACGCAGAAAAAAAAGAGGGAGAAATCAGCACTTTCTCCTCAGTTCCCAGATTTGGGGTATGAGAGAAGAGGATTGAATCTCTGGAGACACAGCAAAAGCAGGTGATTCCAGAGGTTCCCAGAGAGAAACACACCAGTGGAATGGAGCAGTGAATGATGGGTACTATAGCTGGTGAGTGACTCCAGTCCAGGTGACTGCAGTGTCCCCTGTAGAGGGTGCTGGCTAGACATCATTTTAGAGAGGGGCCATCTGAACCTGGCATTCAGAGCAGCTGTGGGTTGGTCTCATTTTGGGGCTTCCAGTTGAAATCCCAGTGACAGCTGTGGGAGACATCTAGAGTCAGGGAACTATGGTCAAACCAACAAGAGACACTCAGAGCGTTGTAGGCTGAAAAACTCAGGCCCTAATCCCACAACCAGAGGTCAGAATCAGCCTGAACTTGTGTGGAGTTGAAAGCACCAGAATCAGCACCCTACCCTAATCCAACTGCCTACTTGCTGGGATCACCCAGCATGGATCTGGGCTCTGTCTGCCTTCTTTGTCTACTAGTGACAGCAGAGCCATGTCCTGCACTGGATACTACCACAAAACTGTAGATTCTAGAATAACCACAGGCTTGAAATCACAAAGTAATCTCTCTTTTTTTCTTTGTGTTTGGTTTTTCTGCTTGTTTTTGTTTACTTGGGTTTTTTTTCTTAAATATTTGTTTTTGTGTTTTCATGAGTGTGAACATTGTTTTTACGGTTTTTTTTGTCCTTGTGTTTTTTTTCTTCTTCTCTTTCATTCTTGTCTTCTTCACCAGTTTCCCAAACCTTGGGTAATCTTCCTTTTTCCTTAAACCTTTTTGCTTCTAACCTTTCTCTTGCCTTTTATTTCTCTATTTTTTCCTCTTATCCCTTTTAAATTTTCTCTCCCAACTGAGTGGATATTTACTGTATATAATTTTCTGATTTGCCTTAGATTTTGTTATATAACCATAAATCTTGTACCTATGATTAAAGGTGGAAAATGAACAATTATCACAGTTTGTCATTTTCTACACTGTGCTTGATGCTTTTGTTATTACTGATTGTACTACTCTAGCCAAAGTGACATAATTGTTACCATCAGTGGTTCTTCCTTGTATGCCAATATGGAGATTGTCTGACTTGGGAAGCAAAGAAAGAAGTGAGGAGCTGCAAAGGGAGATATATCTTTCTAGGTCACACCCTCAGTGACCTACCTCTTCCACAGGCACCAGCTGCAATAGCACACATAGCTCTGATCTCATCTGTGGATTAATCCATTGATGAGTATAGTGCCCCCATGATCCAATCAAGTTCCTCAATCAAAAACCTCATCTCTGAACCCATGAAATCTGTGGGGATATTCCAGATCTAAATCATTATAAGGATGCATTGCTTAAAAGGTAGAAAAGTATTTTAGGTTGTGGGTGTTTAGCTCCTTTCTGGCCTGCTCCTAGGAAGATACTAGTGTGCAGCATTCCTTGCAGCACCCAACAGGTTAACACCTGCTTGAGCTGACTTAGAGTGCAGAAGACTGCTGACCCTGAGGAGCTGGAACATTTTGAAGATGAGGGGAGGCAGAGGCAAGGCTTGCTGGAGAAACAAGGAAAAATGTCCTGGGAATAATATGGTAAAGTTAACAATTCGGCATAATTTTCGCCATGCTTTTTTAATGTAAAGTATGAACCCATGTAGAGCAGAACACAATGCCTTTGTTTGTTTCTCAATAAAACTGGGGAGTTTAAGTCAGTTTGGGACTCCATTCCAGTGGAAGTCCCCTGACACCCCCCCAAAGATATTCTACTTAAAATGAATATGCCTTTTGACCTGGAAAGTGCTTTGTTTTTTTGTTTTTTTTTTTTTTTTTTTTTGAGACAGGGTCTCGCTACGCAGTTCAGGCTGGCCTTGAGCTCACCTTGTAACCCAGGCTGGCCTCGAACTCGCAACAATCCTTCTGCCTCAGCCTCCTGAGTGCTGGGATTACAGGCGTGCACTGCTACACCTGGCAACTGGAAAGTGTTTTTAGGAAACCACTGAAAGGAGTCGTTTGCACATGTGAACAAACATGTATATGAGTACATATGTATGTGCTAATGTTTTCACCATAAAATTGAATTATGAAGTTGCATAGTAGGAAATAAGGTAATGTCCATTACTGAAGAAGTGACTAATACATGGACTTTCTTGTTTATACTTTGAATACCATCACCCAGAAGGAGGAAACTATATAAGTGCAGACTTGGCCAGGTTTTAAGATGGGATATTGAACAAAGGGTGCAATTCTCAGAATTGCTCATAGGCAGCACATTTAGTGACTTCTAGGATGTAAAATGTCAAATATGAGCCTCTGTAACATCAAGAGGAATCTTAAAAGCAGTGGTATCTTACAAGGAATGACTGGTAGTGATTTTGCTTTTTTAGCAGAATATAAAGTATTTTAGGCAGGTGTAACCCTGGATTTGTTGATACCAGGAGTCTGACTTATTCTTACAAAAAGCAAATTGTGGATGTGTTTTGTAACTAAATTTTAAACTTGCAGAGAGTTGTGTTTTGGGGATGGGCCCCAAAATAATCAGTGGATTGAGAAGAGTGAGGAGTTCTGCATAGGGCCAGGTTCATACATGGTATATTCCTTTTGTATATCTCTGTTTGATTTGAACTTTTGTGACTAACACATGCACCTGTATTTCTGGTGTTGCTTCATCCTCTGAGATAAGGGAGAGCTGGTTGGTGTGCCATGGATGAAGAGGTGGCAGGGTAAGCCATCACTCTTCCCCTCCTTGGTTCAGCCTGGCTGTCCATCATCGTGAAGTGCCCCACCCTGCCCTGCCCCACTCCATCAGATAGCGCAAAGACCCCCAGAGCCCACATTGTTCCCCACTGACACAGCTGCATGTCCAGTGTGAGCAGTTACAGGTCAAGGTTGGGAGCCTGGTGCCCTCAGCTTTGGTTGTTTCCTGTCCCATCCCTTGCACCCTTCTGAGTTCATGGACAGCAGGCCCAGAGGGAGGCAAGTGTGGTACATATGTACCAGGGAGCCAATGCTCCTGGTGACAACCTTGGACCCGGAAGGTTGGAAGGCACAGGAACTTCGGGTCAGTACTGCAGCAACCTGCCCTTCAACCAGATGGTTTTAGGGGACCCTTGGGTGTCTTGGCTGTTGAGACCCCAACAGTGGTCTTAGTCGTGCCCCTCCTAGTGGTTGTTGTCCCTAGTCCTGCCATCTGGGATGTCCTCTCAGTTAAACCACCTGCTCTCATGTCCTCTTTCCAGGCTCTGCCTTTGGACAAACCCTAGCTAAAACAGAGATGCAGGCTGTTTGTACGAGATGTGTTAGTTTGCCAGGGCCCATAGTAACAAGGTGTCACAAAGTGGGTGCCTTGGGCAGCAGAATCTTAATCTCTCTCAGCTGTGGAGGACAGAAGTCTGAAAACAGGTGTGGGCAGAGCTCTTTCCCTCAAGAGCTAGGAAGGAGACTCTGTTCAAGGCCCATGCCCTGTTTCTGGCAGCCCTGGGGATTCCTGGGTTTGTAGAAGCATCAGTCCTCCCTCTGCCTTCCTTTCACCATGTTTTCTGTCTGTGCACCCCTGTGTCCAAATTTCCCCTTGTCAAAGGAAAAGGTCATGCTGGATTAAGACCCTTTCACTTCAGCACGACCGCATTTCAATCTACAACATCTGCGGCAATGTTATCTCCATATATGACTACATTCTGAAGTAGTGGGGTAATGACTTCAGCACATAAATTTAGGGGGGGCACAACTCCCCTATAATAAGGGCTTCCACTCAGGTTAGAGGTGGCTATCCCCTTGACTGCCAGGCTCTGCTCAAGTGTGGAGTTTAGATGCAGGGCTAAGGCTTTAATTCTGTATTCCATGAAATCTCCAATAGCTGGAAGTGCCACATGAACCCTCTGAGAAGCAACCCTAGTTGGTGCCAGCACTAGCCTCCCTGTTCACCCTGAGATATCTCTGCACCAGCATCCTATTGGGAATTTCCACTGGATAGGGGCCTCCTTTTGGACTGGCCTGATGATTGTCCCATTGCAGTGAACTCCGGTGGTGCTGGTTGGGGCAATGGGCCCTTGGTGGAGGCCCAGTCAGTGACTTCCTACAGTCCCTCTTCCCTCCCTGTGGTCTCAACATGTGTCTGCACTTTAGATGTCCAGTTCTGCTCACTTAGAAGAAAGGCCTGGACTAAATCCAGGGTTGGGGAGGCCCGCTTGTCTAAGAAGGGAGATGAATCTACAGACTAAGAAAAGCAGTAGCCAAACAGTTCACAACAGCAAATATTATTTCATACCAAGTGAGGTTTTGAGAGAGAGAAATAAAAGGTGCTGAAATCATTTGTTAGCAAATAAAACAGGGATTACTCAACTGATTAAATCAATACAACAAATAATAAGAAAGATCTGTTTAAATTCCACATTGGGCCTAGGACATCTGAAAGAAGGGATGGTAGTACGGTGGGGTTGGGAAGGGAAGGAAAAAGATGGAACAGAGGTAAATAGATGTGATTATTATCAGAGACCTAAGGATGTGCCTGGGGGAGGGCTGGCAAAAGCAGCTAAAGGGGTTTGGGGGTTTTGAAGAAAGCACTATTGGAAAGATTTTCTGATTTCACCTGCCTGTAACCCTCAAAACATGCTGCCATCTTCCTCAAAAACTCTGGGACACAACTGCCCAAACTCACAGTCCTGCTGGATTCTGGGAGGAATAAGGACTCCTTGCAAGTGCTTCAGACGTTCTGCCTTCTGCAGGCCAACTGAGAGCTGGGCCTACCTCAGGCCATATGGTCCACTTTTGCTCAGGGGATATTTCTGTGCCAGGTTGGAGCTAAGCTTTAAAAGTCCTAAAATACATTATCTATGTAAGTCAGTGAGTTCTTACTTTCTAATGCATATCTTTTTTTTCCCTCTTTTTTGTAGCACTAGGGATCAAAGCTAGAGCCTCATGCATGTTAGGTAATTGCTCTACCACTGAAGAACACTTGCAGCCCACTAATGCATGTCTTGTCTAAAAGGATTTAAGGTACAGTAATGAAATAAGAAAATGTGAAAAAAAAAGAAGAGACACAGGCTGGTAGTCAAAGTAAAGATTTATCCTTGGATCAGAATGTTTTAGATCTTGCAATTTGCATATACAAAGAATTCAGCAACATTCACTGGCATTATAATGAGAGCAAGATCAAAATTTAAATGTAATAAAAATATGACAGTTGGAACTGTAATACATACATATATTATAAAGATTACACATAAATTAAGCATGGCTTAGTTAAACAAACAAAGGGAACTGTATCAGTAATCATACATTTAAAAAAATAACATGGGCACAATCTCTAAATGCTGAAACACAGGTAACAGGTTCATTTTAAAAAGTTTTTTAAAAACACATAAAAATACCTTTGAAAACACCAGTATGCATTCTTCATTCATCTAGCACATGGAGAGAAGGGATAAAGTAAGTCACACAGTGACTGATGGGCATCCAGATCAGAATGGTAAACTTCTGATCACTATTTGGCATTTGAATGCAACTGCATGCAACAGAGGAATGTGAAAGGAGACATGTCCTTGCCAGTGCTGGGTGGTTTTGTTATATATACTCGACTTTCTTTGACTGAAGGAAGAAGAGAACGTGCCAAGGGCACAGAGGAGGTGCCAAGGCCTCTGGTTAGTATTCCCTCTGCACACAGCTGCTCTGTAGGCACACGGACTGCCTGAACTTGGCCTTGGCCAAAGCCATGAGGCTGCAGTGACCACCCTCCCTGCTTCAGGAAGGTGCCATATATCCACCCGATGCTAGCTTCTGTTTGTTTCCAGAATGGGATGAGTTTGGGAACAAGGAGAACCTCTGCAGTGAATACTTAGGATGTTCCTAGTGGATGAGGGCAGAGAAAACACACACAGAACACTTTCCTGAGAACAGCCTGAAAAGATCTACTTAGAAAGGCACTTCTTGATACAAGAGATGCCAGACAAAACCATTGAAGGGCTTCAAGGCTTCTGACTACCAACTCCTAAAACTGGGGTGACTCCACCCCCCTCAACTTTGAACTCCGAAAAATGACCAGTTTAACGTCACCTTCATCCTAATGGGCTTCAGGTGCTAAATAAAAACATATTTTCCTCTCTTCTCCTTTAGTCAAAGAAAGGCTTTGGGTTTGGTATTTTAACAAGGGAAACAAATGGCAAACAACTGGCAGGTCGCAGAAACGCTCCTTCCATTTTCCCTTTCACCTGCTTCTCACTGCACAGAGGGAGATACACTCCGCAGCGGGGGGCCCAGGGTGCAGCTAGTAGCGATGGCAGCGGCCAGAGTGTGCGTTCACCTTTCCTGGTGGATGCCAACTCCCGCCCTGTGTGGAGCTCAGGGCGGCAGGGTGGGACAGAAGCTCGATGACCTGGAGCCTGGTGAGGACACTAACGGACCCTGGGGTCGCACCTGTACACACTGTGAACAGACGGGATAAACAGTGCAATAGGGGGGCACGATCAGGTCTCAGTGAAATGTCAAATAAGGCCTTTTACTTTTACATATCTATAAAAAGCAAAAAAAGTACCCAAACTGCACATGTTCAATGCCTGTAGTAAGTTAGACCAGATGTCTTCTTTTTTTAATATTGTGCTCATCTACTAGGTACCTAATAGCTACAGAAAGACAATGGTTATTACAGGGAAAGTTTTTATGTTCACTTCTCATCACCTCCCCTCGTCCTTTGTGGTACTGGGATCGGTATTATCACCCAGTGCCAAAAACCTCAGCATCCAAAAATAAGTTAGACTTTAGATTAAGGATTTCTATTTCTCTTTTATTAAACATTGAGAAGTGGGATATTTAAAAACTGTACAAATCTAGATTTTAAGACTTCTTTTCTTACAAACAATCTTAGCTTTTTACACGAAGTTTTTAAATACCAAAACGCTTCTCAGAAAATTTACAGCACAATTATCTGTTTCTACCCAAATGTGTGCTCCTCAACTGTGCGTGTGTGTAAGACACTTTCTTTGAATGTCTGCACATGAAGTCATCTCACACTGAGTCTGAAGGTCTGGTTCAAGGTCAGGACAGGCACCCGGGGCTGAACGGGAGAGAGGCTGAAAAGTGTGGTGGGTTGGAGTCTGAGTGAGACACATGGACAGATGGGCAGCTCTACTGGCTGGTTTTGTTGTGCCCAAGGCCATGTGAAACTGGGATGGCCTGGCACTGACACTTCTCATCTAACCAACATGGCACAGACACAGCCTTCAGAAATATTACTAGGTATTCTCTGACCACTTTCATGTGTCTTAGACCTAGACTCAGGATGGAAAGTATTCAACGCTTAAAAGGTAAAGTTAAATCACATGTCGGCAACTGAGGACTTTACAAAAGTCCCTATTTACATTAGCTTTCAAAAAATACTGCAGCTCTAGGTTGTGAAATCAGTTGTGGAAATTGAGTTTTCAACCGATTTCTTAGTTCTTGGCTGTTTTCTTGGATTTTATGTTTAGTGTCTTGCTTAAGCACACTTGGCATATTAAGAACTATAAGATTTAGAGATGCATAACATGTGACATTACATGACATGGACCTAACGAAGAATTAGGATATTTACTGATATTAGTAGAAATACAGTACATATATTTTGTGGGATATTATTTGACCTTAATACATTATTCCAATTTCTAAAAAGGGTGCTTAAGATTTAATAACTTTATAGCAGGTGACCTTTAAAGAATAACAAAATATATACAGAGAAATTAGGAAGGATATTAATGTCAACTATGAAATAAATTAACATAATTTTTACAAAATATACTGACCATTAAATTAAAAAATATTTTAAGGCAGGACTCTTCATTTGAAATTAGCATAATCAGAAAATATATCAATAAAATCTTGTACCACTTTGTAGCAGAATTCATACTGTTCCTGGAAAGAAAGACAAGGTTACATTAAAATGATGTTCCAAAAGTATATTTGATTAACTTAATCAAAAGAAACATTAAAAGATAAAACAGAAGCAATTCTGCTTATTATTAAAACCCTATGTTTTTGTGCACATCAGTTTCTGTTACATAATTTAGTTTTTAGATTCATGAAAATTTCCAAGTAAAGCTGTTTTCCTACAAAGAATGTCAATATTTTGTTTCAAATTAGTCTCAGTAGAAAGTCTTTAATTTTCATGTTTAAACTGTGAAGTTATTTTTGAACTGAAAGATCACATAACTACATGGTCAGATAAAGTTCGTAATGTAACAAAAAGCAATGTACAGATGTTAAAATAAAATTCTAGATTATTTTGAAGCTTAAATTCTCTCTGTAAGAGAGAGATGGTTTTATATAAATTTTACTAGAATTCTCGCAGTAATTGCCTTACTTTGGTATAAGGCAATTCAGTTATTATAACACTTGTGCCCATTACCCATTCTGTCTTCCCCACAGCTGTGTGAGGACTAGAGCCAGGCTGGTGGCAAATGGGTGACCACTGTGTCACCCATTAACAAAGGGCACTCAGTGAGAAGGAAGTAGGATGTGGAGATAACAATTGCTGAACTTTTCCTGAATGCCTACAGCAATTCTTTGGACAACCAAGTGAGCAAGACAGTCAATGGGCAGGAAGGGGACCCCAGAGGTTCCAGTCACCACAGAGAGCAGCTAAGCTGCCTGTTACATCTAAAGGTCTGGTTACTTGCAGACTCCAGTGGGACATATGAACTGGAGAGAAGGGCCCAGGAAGCCGGAAGAGCTGGGAGTTGTCCTCCGCCATTTTGCCTCTTCTTTTAAGGCAATGAACTCAGACTTTTCCTTGTACCACACACCAAGCAAATGTCAAAAGGCTTGGGGCTGGAAGACACTGAACATCAGCCTCTTCAGCCTTCTCACAAGCCTCAGTCTGGCCAAGATAGGATGACACTGGGTTTTTCAGAGAAAGAAGTCAGACCAGGAAATCTGGACCTGAGATTGCATGAAGAGCTAAGACTGGGCTGTAGGGTTCCTTGCTTGTGCCTGATAAGATTCTCACCTATTCACTAGACCTTGGAAGGAAAAGGAAAATAAATTTCCAGAAGAAATTTTTCATAACTCTATAAAGAGGCAAGTATCTTCATGATGTTCATAAAGCATTTTCTGGACAAAGTGGCTTTTGACTTGACTTTTCCTATTTCTTCTATTTAAAAGCTACATAAATTAAATATCAAAGCTGACTCCAGTCTGGGAGAGAAATGGAAATGGTTATTCATGGCGATGATTTTTTTACACAGCTAGCACAGGGACTAACTGATAACTACCCTCCTTGTGTCTTGCATACCCGTTACTGGCAGCTGGCGAGGAATGAAGTGTATCCTGGCAGAGCGCTGGGATGACACTGGCCATACCACAGGTCACAGACAGACATTTCTGATGAACACACAGTGCTCTGGGAGAACAAACACCCTTGTGGCCTTTGGAATGCCTGTTCTAACTGCAGGCTACCTCAGATGTAACGGGTCTTCCCTCAGAGGTCAGCCACTGGAAATTGGTTTGTGAGCCACTGCACCCGTCTATGAGTGAAGTCAGCCACACACCATATCTTTTTACCTAATCACATAATCACACCCTGTACTCTTTGCCAAAGTGTCCCTGCCAAATGTGAGGTCTGAGCAGTCAATATGCTCTCCAGTTCTGGAGTCAGACAGACTGGGTTTAATCTCATTCTGACACGACACTTTAATTCCTGAGCAACTTGGGCCACCCGCTTCACCGTCCTGGGTGATGATATGAGCAGCCCTTGGGGGCAGAAGTGAACACAGGGTTATGGTGAGCACACAGTGCAAAAGATGTCTCTAAGGTACCTGACCCAGCAGTCATCAGTCAAGGACTCATTTGCCCCTCATTTGTTTACTAATTCATCACTTTTCTTGGAGCACTTACTATGTGCTGGATGTGGGCCCAGAGGCTGACTTGAAAAGCCAGGTTAGAAAATGCCCTGGCAGGCTGTCATTGGGCAAGAAAAACACAAACTGAAGCCAGGCAGCCTCCATGAGGGAGCAGAGAGAACCCGAGGCCAGAGTTGGCAGAACTGAGGCAGGAGGGCACCTGGACACTGGGTGATTGGAAAAAATACACGGGCCAGACCAGGCAACTTATGAGAGCTGTTAGTGCCCCAACAAAACCATCTTGGAGATGCTCTCTGCTGCAGTTGCAAGGCACCTCTCTTGGGGCCAGGGATTTGGAGAAGTTAAAAGAAATTTTGCACAGTGCTCTAAGCGAAGTACCATTAGCCCCAGTGTCCACAGAAAGGACCTAGAGAAGGGAAAGGGAAGGGAAAGAGCTTATCCCATTTCACAAAGCCTGAAGAGTCTAGCTGTGAAGCTAAGATGATATGCTGAAGCCCAAGGATCAATGGGATCTTGAGCCTTGGCCTTATCTTTCTTTTATATGTAACTGCTGCCCAGCCCGGACTAAAGGCTGCTCAGGAAAGAATTAAAAACAAGAAAAAAATGGAAATGAGTCTGGCTCATCACTGAAAACTGGATTTCTTTTTGTGGAAGTCCCTAATGGGGTTGTGTGCAATATTTAAACACTATTATTAATTTCTTTTATTTTTCTGTCCACCTCAGCCTCCCAGAGTGCTAGGATTAGAGGCCTGTGCCACTGCACCCAGCTACTATTATATATTTTGATCTAAACACTCTTTGTGGTGTTGTCTGCCACCATCGCTCAGTTCGTGCCACCTGAGGCACCTGCTGCTATCAAGAGGGAGCATAACTTCTAGCAGACTTTCCTAGGCTTCTCCAGCCTCTTCTCAGAGCCTAAGAGGGACTGTCTGTGCTGGGATCAGGACTCCAAGGTCAGTGGGGAGCCCTGATGCCTCTTCCTTCCCATTGCTGTCAGAGGCCTGGGTTCCCATCACTGTCACAGCTGGCAGGGCAGAGAGACTTCCAGAGGGGGAGCCACAAGTACCCAATACCCTTCCCATCTAGTTGCCCTCAAACTTATATTCACTTTGGGATCACTTAGCAAGGAGTAAGTATGCTGATGCCTGGGTCTCAATCCCAGAGATCAGATTACATTTAATTGGTCTCGGGTGAAGCTTGGGCACCGGGAGACAGGTACATGCTCCCCAGGTGAATGTCATGTTCAGGCAGGGTGGAGAGTCCCATGCTAGCCCTACTTAGCAGGAGGGCAGACCCACACTTGCTCAGGGGTTCTCTCTGGCATTTAGGCTCTGCTGTGATGAGGGTTGTGGGAGGGCCCTGCTCCCCACCTTTCTGTGCAAGCTGTTTGAGCCAGGATTGGAAAAGGAGGGTGAGTTCGAAATAGGAAGGGAAGGCAGGTTCTCAATAGGAAGCTGTCGGGGAGATGATGAGTTATAACAGCCTTCAAAAACTGCACTTGTTGGTTTAGCATAAACTATCACAGAATTTAATGAGGAAGAATCTCTTCCCAAACCCAGAAAGTGTGCAGCCACGGTAATGAAAGAGAATGTGTAGGGCAATTGTACATTAGTTGGGCTTCCTATGCCCCGCACTTCCCCGTAGCAAGGTCTTGAGGTTAAGTGAGAATCTACCAAGGCACGCAGACCAAACGAAAGGTGTAAAATTGAAAATGACAAGTACAAGGCATTTAAGTTTCATTGCTGCTTTTGAACCTGATAACAGTACAGTATATTTTAAAATACAATGCAAAGTCATGAATGAGCTCTTTCTCATGAGGTTTGTCCAGAGGACAGATCTGAGGCAGAGCCCTAAGGAAGGATCTGGATCTGTCCCTTTACTACGAAAATTTGCAGGTGGCTCTTTGCTTTGGGAATTGTACCCTCCCTTTTCCCCCTTACACTGGAGAGCCTTTAATGAAGCCAACATCAAAAACATTAAACAATCTCGCCCTTCTGGAGACCTTCTGAAAGTTCAGGTTCTTACCAGGGTTTGCACCATGTGTGGCCTCTGAAGTCGTAAGCTCTTCACAGCTTGAAATACATCTAAAAGTCCCTCAGCCTTTACACGTTCCAAAATGTTGCTGAGAGCAATGAATGTACCTGTTCGCCCAGCTCCAGCACTGTGGAGAGAAAGCACTCAGTGATGATCATCAAAATGATGGGGAAAGAACCACAGACAGCTGACAAATAATCCCCTGAATGTTGGTATTGAAGCAGGATCATTGCAAAGAATCAGTTTGACTGGATGTTTCATGACAGTTTATACATAGCTTAGTTGCTGAGCAAGGTCCAGAAACCATGCAATTCTAAACCACTTCCCTCAATACAGGGGTTTGATATTTCATGAAATGGATTGGGACTGGTTACTAGATTTTAAGTACTCCTCTCTCCCCTGTGTGGACCAGGGGGTCCGAGTGTGGTCTTGGAACCAGCAGGCTCAGCACCACCTAGGAAGTGGTTAGAAATGCAGACTTTCTCATGTCAGGTCCAGAGAGGAAGTGACCCTGGCCCCTGTCCTCTGGAATGGGTGATGGGTGTTGAATGGTGGCACTGAAGGACTGTTAAGACAGCAGGCACTTACTGCCAGGAAGAGTCCGATGATTAGACTCCCGGGAATGATGGTTCGAGTCAACTCTACTTAAGGCGATCACTTACTTGAGAAACTGCAGGCCCCAGAAGAGCTGCTCTTAGGAGAGCCCAGGTAAGAGGCCTAGAGGAGGTGGGCTCCAGAGCCCTCTGTAGAGGCATGGTTGCCCTTGGGCGCTCCAGGACCTCGCGTGTGGACATAATGAAAATCTCTTAACCTGCTGCTGTCACTTGTTTCTGTGTCTGACTTCCCTCTGTTGGCACTTGCATGCCCTACACGTGCTAAACTGATAGCCTGCATTTGCAGAGGCCAAGTACGAAGGCACTTCTGCACAGTTTACTGTGAAAACCAAGCTGTGTGGTTCATCTACTGCAGGGCTGGGAATGTGCCCAGGTGCATTCCAGACTGGGAACTAGGGTCCCAATAAGCAGGGGCTTCGCTGGCCACAAGGACTAGGGTAGTAAATAGGGGCAAAATGTAGTCATGAAAGTGGGAATCACATATGTGGGAAACAAAACAGAAGGGCAGCTTGAGAAGTAAATTAGCACCAGCCAAGAATAAAGTCACACCAAACTGCTGCTTGGAAGCCTTTGGCAAGAGTAGCTAAGCTCTTTCCCAGCAGGGGGTGCTAGGCACAGCCAGAAACTGCACAGGAAGAGAGAAAGGGGAGCTGAGGCTTCTGATCTGCTAGACCCATCTTCTTTCCTTCCTTCTGATGCTTATCATGGTCCTGGCTGGGGTCCTCACTGTGGCCCTGAGATTGTCTCTCTGACCTCACACCTGAATTGTGGGGATAAGTGTGGCTACAGGTCTCTGTTAGCAATCTGAGCCTGAATCCCACACCCCACCCCACCCCCATGGTCCCAGGATAATCACCCTGGGCTGTCCTTCAGCTGCCGAACCTCCTTTCCCAAGCACAGAAGACAGAACACAAAGTGTGCACACAGCAGCGAGAAATAAAACTTGCAAAACAGAGGCAAGCAACTGGACATACAGATAGGTGTTTTTCCATGCTTTGCTTGGGGAATTTGGAAGCCTTCAACAGCATGTGGAAATAAGCGTTTGGGTGTGGAAATGAGCGTCTGGGTTCTTTCCCAACTCCTCCCCACAGAAGTTATGTGTGCACATGTATAAGTGCAGGTGACACAAGCATCTAGGGCAATAATGCTACTGGCAGCAGTGACCCAGCTCTCTCTCCTACCCTAGCTGTGTGTGGTCTATGCTGCCCCACATGGACAGGGCCCCTGGCCAGCAGTGGGCCACTCACCTGCAGTGCACAGTGATGGGGTGGTTGCCCGTCTGCTGCTGTTGCTTCTGCACGGCTGCAATGAGGTCAATCATGCCTTTGCCCTCGGCTGGAATCCCGATCTCGGGCCAGCCATGGAAGTGGAACTGGCGCACCACGCGGGTCTGCTCCTCCTGGCGGGTCAGCGGCTGCTGCGGGAGTCTGCTTTCAGTGATACTGGCCTTCGCCCAGCTGGGGATCCACCCACCCTCCTGTGGATCAGAGCCTGAGCTCAGAGCCCTCTCCAATCCCCCTGAGGCCCCCAGTGTCCCCACCTGGCCACTGAGGGGCCTGCAGTTGGCTGTGCTTCCTTCTGTCTGAGTCGAGACATCCAAAGGATGTGCTCTGGATGCCAGTCAAGCCCCAGCCAACCCTTCACAGAATCCTGGCTGCCATGCTCTAGAGAAGGGAATCCTCTCGGGAAGCCAGTGCATTTCCCACTGAGGCTGGAGATGCATCTGGTGGGGTGAGTCCTTCTGTTACTGGCCCGGAGGAGAGCCAGTCTTTACACAAATGCAGCTTCCTGCATTGACCATCTTGAATGCAGCATCGAGTCCCATCAGTGAGCCATCTCACCCAAGTCACCAGAGTGCCCACATTTTGCTGTTGTGTGCAGAGCCCAGGACGCAGCAGGGACAAGGATGGCTAGGGGTTCGGAGAAAGCCCCTGAAAGAGGACCTGAAGAGGCCTCCGTAGCCTTCCTCTTTGTACCTGCTGCCTCTGCTAAAGTCCTTCTCCCTAGCGGGTTGTGGGAGAAAGTGAAGTGGGATGGGCCGACCTCTCTGCCCTGTCATCTTTGTCTACCAGCTAGATGACAGGTGACCATGGAGGACCAGTTTTATAGGAGTCCTGCCACTGGGCTATTCATGGTAATCTGGGACTCAGGAAAAGATGGACGGAGCATGACACACAATAGGTCCAGGGCCCCATTCTGGCACCATGACAAGCAGCTCTTTGAGTGATGATGGTGGTTAGGTCAACTAGAGTTTTAAAATCTACAGCAATCATACCTGATTGTAGGTCACCAGGAAGTCTCGTATACTGATGGCTTCAGAAAGGGTATCGCTTTTTATTTCAATTGTTATTTCTCCATGAGTAACTGAGCCCTCTGTCGGCCAATACTGGTAGCATTTATCCTTAGGGGATAAGATAAAATTTTAAGTGTTATAACTTGCTACCATTTTTGACCTTATGATATAGAATTACTCCCAAACCATTTAATCTACTTGATCTGACAAGAAAATAACAATACAAGTGTGAGTACCCATGAATGCCTACTGAACAAGGATGCAGAATAGACTTATTAAGAAAGAGACACATATACAGTATACGGAACTTGAATACATGACAGAAAGGAGAGATTCTTCAGTGAATGGAACCTTGAAGCTTACAGAGTGGATATGAATGCTAAAGCTTCACCTACATTTGGGCACATATGAACTGTGCTACTTGGTGTAGAGACCTTGAACCTTAATAAAAGCAAACTTAAATGGGCTGAGATTTAAAAACCAAAACCCAGACCAAAACCCTCAAAAGAAATTATTCTTTTGGGCTGGGGATATAGCTCAGCGGCATAAGCGTCTGCCTGGCAAATGCAAGGTCCTGAGTTCTATTCCGGGTACCAAAAAAACAACAACAACAAAAAATCTTTCTGGAAACAAATCTTTTCAAGTATTAAATATTTGAAAAAAAAAAAAAAAAAGAAATTATTCTTTCACTTTTCAGTGCACAAGGATTTATTAAATAAGACACAAAAAGAGCTAACTAATTATGAGGCAATGCATAGACACCCCAGATGACAATAAAACTAACTTCTCCTCACCAACAAGAGTGAGAATATGGACCACAACTGCTAAAAGATGTTTGCAATGCACAAAATCAACGCATGACGAGTATCAGAAGTATGTAAAGTTCTATAAGTCAATAAGAAAATGGCAAACAACTCAATAGAAAAATGTGTGAAAAGTAGGAACAGGCATTTCACACCGGAGGGGATATGCCATCCATGGATATACAAAGTAATGTTCTATCTTCTAGGTATCAGAGAAATGCAGATTAAAGTCACAAAGAGGTATTTGCATCTGTTTAATTAATAAAGGCCAGGATGCTAAGAATATTATGTGCATTAATGAATGATTATGTTATACAGTTCTGGAGTCCTCTTTGGAAAACAGTTCTGAAATGTCTTGCAAATTCATACTTTCACATACTATCCAATGTGACATTTTCTCTCTTTGGCATATACTAACTCTTGTGCATCATAAGACATGTACAAGAAGGTACAGTGCACTCCTGTTTGTTAAACAATATAACATCAACACAAATGCTTATGGAGAGGCATAAATAAGTGGATACAAGATGCATGATTGTACGTGGGAATATACTGACATAGTGATGATGAATGAGTCACTGTTTAGACATCAACACAGAAAAAGATCAAAAGCACAATTTTGAATGGAAAAAAATCAAGTCCCCAAAGATTATATACTATAACCATGGTTTTTATATAAAATTCAAACACAAGCAAAACTAAACAATAGTTTCCTTAACATAAGAAATAAGATTTTAATTTTTTTATCTTTTGAGACAGTGTCTCCTTATGTAGTTGAGCCTGAGCTTAAATTCCTAGGCTAGCCAGGAGCTCACCATACTCTTGGGGTACTGGGATTGCACTCATGTGCCACTGCATCCATCTGACTTTAAAATATTTTTTAAAAAGCAAAGAATATCTCCACTAGGAGGCTTTGATAAAAAGACAAGGTGTTGGCAAGAAAGGGGTATAAATTAGAATAGTTATATGTTGCTAATAGGAATATAAAATGGGGTCACTAGTCTGAAAGTTTCTTAAAAATATTAAGTCCTTAAAGTTCATAATACAGAGTTGTGATATAAGCCAAGTATATACCCAAGAGAAATGAAAACAATAAAAAGTCAAAAACACAAAAACCCTTGGAAAACAGGGCCATGCAAAAGCTTGTTCAGGAATGTCCACAGTAATGTTACTCGTAATTGCCCCAAAACAGAAATAACACAAAGGCCAATCAGCTGATCACTGGATAAATGAAAGTAGTACATTCTTTTTTTTTTTTTTTTTTTTGAAAGTAGTACATTCTTAACTGCAATACTATTTGTCAATAAAAAAGAATGCAGTTCTTGCTCATGCTACAACGTGGATGGACCATGAAATCATCATTCTAAGTGAAAGAACTCTCTTCCAAAAGATCACATACAAGTACTGTTTGGATCCACTTATATTAATGTCTGTAGTGGGCAAATTCATAGTTAGAAAGTAGATTAATGGTAGCTGGGGCTGGGAGAAGGGAGGATGGGGAGTGACTATTTAGTACAGTTTCTTTTTGAGGTGATGGGGCTGGGGATTTAGCTCAGTGGCACAGTGCCTGCCTGGCAAGTGTGAGGTCATGAGTTCGATTCCCAGTACCAAAAAGAAAAGTTCTTTTTGAGGTGATGAAGTCAATCTGGAATTAGAGGATGTGGTTGCTCAACTCTGAATATTGTAAAAACCCACTAAATTGTACCCTTTGAAAAGATGAATTATTTGATAGGTAAATCATATCTCAATAAAGCTATGTATGACAGGGATGTAGCTCAGTGGCACAGTGCCTGCCAGGTAAGCATGAGGTTGTGAGTTCGATTCTCTGTGTACCAAAGGAAAAAAGCTAATTACTTTTTATTTTGAGACAGGGTCGTGGGCCAGGGATATAGCTCAGTAGCACAAATGCAAGGTCCTGAGTTTGACTCCCAGTACCAAAAAAAACAAAAAACAAAAAAAAAGAGGATATTTTGAGACAGGGTCTTGCTAAGTAAGTCATGCTGGCCTTGAATTTGTGATCCTTGTGCCTCAGCCTCCTAAGTAACTAGGACTATAGGCATGTACCACCATGCCTGGCTAAACTATTTTGTTGTTGTTGTTGTTGTTCTTTTGTTTTTTTTTCTAGTACCGGGAATCGAACTCACAATGTCACACTTGCCAGGCAGGTGCTGTGCCACCGAGCTAAATCTCCAGCTCCCAGATTTTTTTGTTTTGTTTTGTTTTGGTTCTTTATTTTTTTAACGCAAAGAAATCAAAACACAAACTCAGGGGAGTGGTCATGTCTTGGGGGAGCTAGATAGATGTACATTATTGATAAAATGTAAGGTTTTTCAGTTGCGTGTGGGTTCCTGAGTGTTTACTATGTTTTTGAAGAAGGCCACACAAGGGTTTCTGGGAAAACAGAAATATCTGACCCATTAATTTGATGAGAATATTAGCTAGGTATACACATCCATGTCTTTATATCTTACCAAAGTACATAAGTGCCTTTTTCTCTGACAGGTTGAAAAATACTGAATAATGCAAAATGGCAGAAATTCAAGGCAGATCAATGCAGGCTAAGGAGGCAAACCTGGTTAATCACTCCATCCACCTCCCCTTTCCCTCACCCCCAAAGAAAGCAAAGGGTGAGATAAAACCTTTTCCTCTTGCAACCTCTCCCTCCTCAGTCATCCTGGCTGCGCCTCCCTGGGGTGTTTTCAGGCCCTCAGCAGGTGAGACGTTGTCCTGAGCAGTGGCCCTGCAGGACCTGAGCATGGTGGCACCACTCACCTGCTCTCGCTCCTGCACCTCTGTCAGCATTACAATTGTGTGGCACTTCCACTCCCAGACCATCCTCCAGAAGTCCTCGACCGTGTGGGCCAGGGGGCCCTGGGTGGCAATGAAATAGTCTTTCTGCCGGTAACCCTTCAAAAGAAGAGGAGGGGTTAAGGTTGGACTTCCTTTCCTCCATTGCCACCACCTGCCATGTGTGTGTAGGACAGCCCAAGGCCTGATGAGGGAAATGGCAATTTTCCATGCCTGAACCAAAGCCCCGCTGGCACACTTACGCACACAGATGTACCTCCCCCCCACACACACCTCAGAAGCAGGCCAGGACACTCGCTCTAGGTGAGAACACACACCCATACTTTCTGCACCCGAGGCTATCTCTGAGTGGCTGCTGCTGTAAATGACCAGTTACTGTGGGCATCCCCACAGTACCCAGTGGCTTTGATTCTACATGCTTCTGTGTACTACAGTGAGACTGACAATGTGGGTGCAAATCCAAGGAAAGGGCTTCAAATTTCAGTTCCTCTACCAGGACCCCACTGCCATCTGGGGCAGCTTCCTCAACTGCAAATGGGAACACTGACACACACTCGGATGCAGAGTCCTTCCGTGCCTGTTTTTCTGCTGATGTCAGTGTGCAGGAAGACAGGCTTGGCCTAAACACAATTATATCACCCATATGGGTACAAGTCACAGAAATCATACAGGGGAGAGCACACAGAAGCACTGGATGTATAAGCTGGTGTGACAGAAACTAACAGCAGAGAGAAAAAGTAGCCAATTACTTGGAGCGAGTCTCTCCTATTTCCCAAAGTTTGCAATTTACTTTTTAAGCAGCTGGTTCTGCTAGTGAAATGGTTGCTGGCAATGTGTCAATTCTTTCTGTTGTGTTAATGCACTAATAAAAGCATGTGGTCACATAGGAAGGAGACACACAATGCACAAAGCACACCGAAGGCCATGATACGTACGTCTATGAAGGAGGCATTGATATAGTCTGTATATTCTTGACCCCTTTTCATGGAAAGGATCACTCGGTTGAAGTCATCTGCAAAGTAATGGCATTTCCCATACTCAGTACAGATACAAACCTGCCTTGCAAAAGTTCTTTCAGTCATGCTGCAGATGGAAGCAGGACCTCATGCTTGCTAGGCAGGTCCTGTACCACTGAGCTACACTCCCAGCCCTCTTGCCTTGCAAACTTTAACCTGTTGCTCCAAGCTTTCAAAATATAAAGTGTACCAATAAAATCAAGTAAAACTAACTCTTTGAGAAGTTCCTGTTCTAGGCTAAGAAAATGCTTTGGGAAAGATTTTCTTTTGTTGTTGGAAAGCTCTGAGAACAATCCAGTTATGGTTTTTACTTTTCATGGAAAAACACTGCATTTAAGGAATAAAAGGCATGTGACCCACAGGAGCTGGACCTGCAGGCACGAGGACAACATGGCCACAGAGAACCCAGGGGCTGGGGCTGGGGCAGATCGGTGTGCTCCTTGTATCACAGGTGAAGGTGGTGGAGCAAGCCAGCATGCAGCCACTTGACCATGGTGAGGATCTGCTGAGCCCACAGAGGTCACATCATTTACGACATGGCTAGATCACTTCTGTTTGAGCTAGGGGCTTTCCCAATGCCTCCTCAGCTCACTTCGTGTGAGGTTTCTCTTTCCCTATGGGTAAGACCCCAGAGGTGGATTCCTGCCTCCTTCTGGCCATTGCCCCTTCACTCAGGACCTCAGTGGCAGGACAGAGTCCTGGCTCCATTCTGGCCCATGTCTTGCCCTCTTTGAGGCACAAGCCTTTTCTTAGAAGGTTTAACTGAGTTCACTTCAGGTCTGACTTAACTCCTCAACATTGCAGGGCCTCAGCTGCATCACTCACTCTCTCCTCTGTGTAAGGAGACATTGAATGAGTCACAGAATCAGGTACCAGGTCATGCCTAAGGCAAATTCCAGGCTTCTGTGGAGCCTGCCCAGCAGTCGACTCTGCTGCCCTCCCCTGCCTCTGAGCCTAACCCCAGGCTGCCTGCCTGACACGCACGTGGGACTGGCTGGGTCACTAAAGTGCTCCAAGAGGCTCTTCTTTTCCCGACATCCACCCAGCAGCCCCGAGCCGGGCCCTGAGGGCACCTGCTTCTGATGTTGTCTTACAGAGGACAGTGGCTGCTCAGTGTCTGAAGCCAGTGGCCAGTGGCACCCTACCCTGCCCACCTTGAAGGGCAGAGACCCCAGCCCAGTGCTGCCTTACAAGGGATGATCTGGATGACCCTGGCCTTCTTCATATTGGCCGGCAAGTTGCCCGTCCTCATGTTCTCCTTCATGATCCGGACGTTGGTCAGTTTCTGCAGGTGAGAAGAGCACAGTGAAGCAGCCAAAACTCTGAAGGCCCTGGGCTAAGCACTCAGCTATGTGCTGGTCCTACTGGCAGGGCCCTGTTCAATGGGAGCACGTGCTGGGCATGGTTGGTGCACACCTATAATCCCAGCACTCTGGGAGCCCAAGGAAGGACGATCACAAGTTCAAGCCCAGTCTGGGTAACTTAGTGACTTAGTAAGACACTGCATTAAAATAAAAAGTAAAAAAAAAGGAATGTAGCTAAGTGTGAAGGTATTGGGCTCAATCTCCAGTACTAAAAGAAAAAAGAAGCACCCATATCTTTATCTCATGAAGCTGCCTCAGTGTTAGGAAATGAACAGTGCCTGTACTCACCTGCAAACTCCAATTATTCTTCCCCTCAAAGTCATAGCCCAACATCTCCCTGCTTTTTAAACAGTTGCTGGTTCCCCTTTCTTCTGCTCACCACCATGGGACAGAGAGGAAGCCTTGTCGGTACTCACCCTGAACTCCTCCTCCAGCCCGATCTTGTTGAAGTGGGTGGCGGTACCATGCAGGCTCTGCAGGTGCCTCTCCAGGGAGGACACATCCAGCTCCGTGTCCCCATAGAGGTAGTACTCCAGTAAGGCTTGGTAGATGAACGTGTACTGTACCTATAGGACACAGGGCACCCCACCTTCGACTCTGCCCTGGGTCAGCGGAGCTGCTGTCTTCTCTTTTTGCCAATGGGAGGAGGGTTAAGGGCAAAAGTCAGGTCCCTGGCCATGTGGATTGGCCCTTTAGGCTCTCTGTAAAGATGGTAGCAGCTGGTGATTATTGAGGATGCCTGGCAACATCCTGGGGGTAGTATAAACATCCTGCCATGTATGAGGGTTCAGGATGAAGGTGAACATTCCATGAGGGTCCCTGAAGAGGAAGGGTTAGAATGGGAAGGAAGCCAGGTCTGATCCTGGACCTCAGCTGTTCATGGCCTGTGGCTACCTGCCTATCAAAACCAGGGCACACGGAGTGTGGAAGGGCTGAATCCCACGTGCCTGGGTTTCTTTGTGAGGCTCAGACCAGGGTTGGAGGAGGCATCACTCACATCCGTTTGGACCATCTGAGGACGCTGATTGCGGATTCGTGACACGAATTCGAAGACGTCTACTTTCTGCTCTGAGTGTATCATGTCCATCATGGCGTCGATCACGATGAAGGTGCCTGTCCGGCCCACACCCGCACTTTGGGAAAGAAGACAGATGTCATTCTGTGGGTCACATTCCTCTGAAGTAAGTGACAGAGGCTGGGAAGACAGTTGAAAGCCGTGACAGAGGATCTGACCTTCCTCAAAACGACTTAATGCAACTTTACTTTGGCGAACAAGCTGCAAGTCTAAGTGAGACCACCAGAGGGTACTGCAATATCAGTGAAGGCTCTCAGACTCCAGCCCTGGAGAAACTTGGAGAAAGCTTCGTATGAGGCTACATGGATAATCTTTTCTGTAATTGTGCCCTGCCAAGGGTGGATATCCTGCATGTTGAAGGACCCGGGAGTTGAGGGATTCTATGAGCTCCTGGCAAGGCCAAGAGGACCTGCCCAGAGCTCTACTCCCGCCATGAACCCCAGCCTTTCTGCTCTGGTCAGTTTCACTTTGGGGTTCTTCCTTAGGTGCCACCGAGAGGAGGCACAGCTACTACAGCAGGTGCTGCGGAGAGGCTCTGGGCTTCCTTCCCTCTGGCTTTCCTTGCAGGACAATCTGAGCTGCACCCCAGGAAATGCACATTGGTGTCCACTTCCTCAGTCTGTGCCTCTGCCCACCTCAATATCGGTCCACTGAGTGTTCTCCCACAGGTCCATTGGGCTCCTACCCCAGGCTTCTACCCTCTCCTGGACATACCTGCAGTGGACCACGATGGGCCCAGCATGTGAGGGGTTGAGCGCGCGTACTTTCTTCAAGAATTTCAGCATCCCGATGGGGGTGAAAGGGACTCCAAAGTCAGGCCAGCTAGTGAAGTGCAGCTGTGAGACGAGCCTTGGTGCCTTGCAGCCGTCGGGAAGCTGCTGCAGAGAGACGCAAGGGGAAACACGTGGTGGCCCTCACCCCTGTCTGCCTGGAGGATGCTTGCCTGGGCTCAGCAGTGCCAGCCAGGCTGTGGCAGTGGAGGCTCACATGGGAACCAACGTCTATTCGTGTGCAGGATACCAGAGACAGAGCCCTTTGGTCTCCCCTGTTGGCTCAGGCTGGGACACTGTAGGCACTTGCAGAGGGCACAGAGCAGGGCTGTGGGCACCTGGCCATGCCCAGGTCAGGCAGGCCCCAAGTAGCCAGACATCCTAAAGCTGGCCCCAAATCTCAGGGATCAGGTGCCCTGCCCTGCTCTGCTTGGACAGTCCCACTTTAGTCCCTGGCCCTGACTGATTATCAGCAGCACATCCCTTCTCTCTCACAGTGTTTTAATTTGGGAAGAAAAGATGGTGGGGTTTGCCTAGCACTGGAGCCCCCCACTGCCTCTCTCAGCATTCAGGATCTAGAGCCCATGTGTTTGTTCGCCTGCCCCAGACCTAGAAGGTTCTCCACAGTGTATTTGGAAATGTATTTGTGTATATGTGTGTGCACACGTGCCTGTCTGTGTGCATGTGGATGAGTAGGTGTGTGTGTGGATGTGCATGTATGTCTAGGAGAGAGGTAAGCAGGGGATAATAATAATAACAATAATAGTCACCCTTCCCCCACCTTCTGCTGTGGCTTTTAGGAACTTTGGCCTCATATTTTGCAACCTAATTACACCACTCTGTCTCTGATTTCTGATAAAATGACCTTTTGTTTTTACGAGCTTTCAAAATATCTTTTCAATCTCCACCTCACAGCCTTGTTCATAGGCATTTTTGTTGAAATCCTTATAAGTCCGTTTATGAAGAACTAGCAGGAATTAAGTGTGAGAAACACTGAGGAGGTTTCAGACATAATTTTGAAACTATTAAAAAAAGCTGCCTCTCACTTCCAGCTTGTGAAATGATATCGTGCTCCTGAGGGGGACCTGGTTCCATTTCCCCACTGTCCTACTCCCCCTGGGGAAGCCCACAGCAGTTACGGGGAGCAGGAGTACCCAGCATCTGGCAGACTCAGGTTCTGGGCTGACTACCCTGTCCCCGTCCAGCCATATATTCCAGCCCTTTGGCTACTAGCCAGCTCTTCATTTATAAAATATAGAACGGTCTCTGCCCCTGACCATGCACTCTCAAAGAATGATGCTCCCAGGACATCACCAGCGGGAAATGCTTACAGGTTGTATGCAGAATTTCCTGATTGTGTAGTCTACTAGCACCACACAGTCTTCCACGCACACCCGGATGTTTCCGTAGGTCCAGCATCCCTGATCGGGCCAGTACTGATAGCATTTTTCCTGCATGGAACAATTTATAGACACAAATCCATCTGTGGGTGTGCTTCTTGCCCCGCACCCTGCTTGTACCCCTGTCCCGCCATCCACCAAAGGGCTCACATGGACCAGTGGAGTCAACAGCTCCTATAACTGGGACAGCATGCAGCCAAGCATATCTCCTTTACAGATAGGGAAAGTGAGGCCACACAGCTAGCAAATGGTTGCCCCGAGACCATGAGTAGGACTGGGCTTTCTGATTTCTACCCAGAGATGTCTCATTCATTCACTCACTCATTAATCCCACACACTTTACTGAACTGGTGATGCTAAGCTTGCTCCCTGAATGACCGTCAGGCTGCAGTGAGGATATTTCCCATGGGAATCAGTGGCCTGTTTCTTCCTGTTCCATTTATAAGGACCTCTGACTACAGCCCCGCCAGCCCTCTATTCAAGAGTGGTCTGAGTCAAGCTAATGAGCCCTGTCATCCTCTGACAAAGAAGGGGCAAGTGTGGGAATCTGCAGATGGCACTTTGTCCCAGAGAGGCCATTTTTACCTTCCCACCATCTGAGAAGGGTCTTGTCTTTGTCCTTTTATTTTCTGCCACCCTGGCACCTAACTGGTAGTGAACCATCTATCAGTATGGAACACACAAACGAATGGGGACTTTCTCAAGGGGGATAAGATCTGCTCAGTATTCCCTCTGGAAGTCTCTAGGGTTTCAGAAGCCTTCCAGGCATCCAACAGTTAGTCTTGGAAATGACCCCAGAGTGGCACAGCAAACTGCTCAGGTTCCCAGGATCCACAGCCTTGTAAAGCAAAACAGTGCCTAGGATATGCCAGAGACCAGCAGCTTTGTATTATGACATTCATGGGGCCAAATACTCCCTTACATCCTGGTCCCAGCTGGCTTGCTGTTTGTGGGGTGTCTCTGAACAAGCCAGAGGGCACCAAAAAGTCCTGGTTTGGGTGAGTCTGGGCCCACAGAAGCCCAGGGGATGCCTGCAATTCTTGCCCTGACAGGCTCTGGCAAGGATGAGCGCTATGTCTCAGGGCCCAGTGGGTGCCATGCAGCCTTTCCTGCCCACCCCCGTTACCAAATCATAAGATGCTAGCTGTGTTTCACAATGTGTTATCCAGGATGTGGACACCAAGGAGACCAAGACCAAAGTGTAAGCAATTAAGAAAAGGGGAACTCTCTTGAGACACGATTTCATCTGAAATGGTGGAACCTGAGAGGCCCCTCAGGCAGCACTGAGTCATGAGAATGGAAAATCACAGTAGGAGGTGACAGAAATGCCATGTAATGTGGTGACAGCATGCTGGGGCACATGGGGGCACCCTCAGGCCCACACAGCTGCTGCACTGGTCTCAGGAAGCTGGTCTCTGTAGAACATCAGTCACAGGAAGGCGCTGGCCCTGGTGAGCGGCTGGCCGGCCCCCTACAGTTTGGGGCTCCTCCTCCCAGCACTCCAGTGAAGGAAGGGCTATGTGTCCTGCGCCCAAGAGTCCCCCGCTTCCTTCCTGTCACTCTTTCCATGACAAGGGCAGGAGTCATAGAAGAACAAGTAGAGACCCTCCCGAGTCCTGCTTCTCAATAACAAAAGAAAAACCCTATCCTGGACCAACCAGAAGACCAGAATCAGTGGCTGGAGACTTCCCTGTGCTTTTTGGCATGGCACCCATTAGTTAGGTGGCAGCAGAACTGCTTCTGGCCCCCACCCTTTCTGTGGCTTCCCTGGGACCTGGCACTTCCATCTATACACTGCAGTCCCGCCCAGCGCCCTCAGCACCCCTGGGCACTGCTGCAGGCCGGGCCAGCGCCTCCTGTGCCTGAGAGTCCTAGGCAGGGCTGAGTAGGTCAGACATCTCCTGCCAAGTGGAACCTTCACGCTAGAACATGCTCGAAGCATTCTCCCAACTCCATCTCCCCACCTGAAGAAGCCTCTCTGGAGTTCCCAATCCTTTAGTTTGGAGGGTGCTCACTACTGATATCAGATCCTGCTTATTGTTCCAAGCCTCCAAGACCTGTGACTGCCCCTCCTTTTCAGTCCTGCATTGGGACGCCTGTCTTGGCTCCTGGAACAGAGCTGGTCTGGCACAGCAGATGCTAATGTGGAGTTTTTCCATGAGGAATGGATGCAGTTCAACTTGTCTTCTTTGTCGATGTTTCCAATTCAGACAATATACACATATTCCTTCAATATACTTGTTTTCAAGTGCTTATCTCTAGTCTGGATGATAAACATGTGGTCATGTTCATGCATAGTCTGAGGCCCACTGTGGTCTATGCCTAACACATTTAAATTTCAGTTCTGAAATCCCTGGCTCCCCTCACAGTGGGAGAAGCAGGGGGAGACCTGGGCAGCCATGCTGGCATCACTAATACATGGTAGCTTAGGACAGTGAGGTCCTAGAAACATGGAGAATTTATTTCAAGATACAAGTGGTGTGAACTACTAAGTGCATTTTTCTCCTGCACCACTAGAAGGAAGGGAAATAGGCAAAGGAAGTGGTCAGAACCCTGTAGCTAAGCAGCAGCCTGACGGAGGGAAGGGCCTCATGGGCAGGTGCAGGAGGGACTCACCTCTTTTCTCTCTTTCAGGTTTGTCAACATGACAATGGTGGCAGACTTCTGCTCCCAGATCATTCTCCAGAAGTCACTCACGGTCTCCTGCTTAGGGCCTGTTCATAGAGCAGAGTCCCAGAGGCAAAGGAATGAAGAGAAGTCCCAAAAGACCTAGCTCTGCACCTCATCCATCCCCAAAGGGCTTCTTAGTCCTTCCTCAAGGCCCAAGGGGCACCTCAGGTCCTGACATCCTGCAGCTAGCAGAGGCTTGTGCCTTCCCTGCCTGTGCCGCGCAGTGATCCACCCCAGCAGGAGGCCAGCGGAGCAGTTGGGCCAAGATTGTTATATTCATGGGCAAGAAAGAGGTCTTCAGACAAGTGCTGTATGTCAAAGTGGCTTGCTTATGTCTCAAAATAGCAGGCCCCTCCAGAATCGCTGAATCAGAAGGGGTGTGTGTGGGGGTGTGTGAGAGAGAGATGCCATTGGCTGGTGATTCACCCTTCATTTCCCACCCCTTTTCCTTTGTCAAAGTATTAACTTTTCAGCATACTGCTATCCAATAAGATGAGAGCTGAAGTCCCTGGGAAAGGAATCTACCAAAAGTTAGATTATCACTACAAGAAATTCCTTTGCCTTTTGCTACTTCCTGTTCCAATAAACATAAAATGTGCAGAGTTGCAGTGGCCATTTTGAAATCCTGAGGCTAAGAGCTCCACACTAAGAGGATGGTGCTAGAAGAAGTCTCTCTCTGTCTTGAACTGTAATCTCTGCCCTTGTCTGTCTCATCCTGTGTAACTGCAAAATACGCTTTTATCCATTTCAGCCAACATGTGTCATGTTTTCTCACATTTATAGCAGGGCATATTCCTGAGGTCTTCTGTATATGCATGCATATGTGGGTCCTCTCTATTGCTCAGAGACCTGGATTTGTAACAAACTCTGCAGATGACGTTGATAGACAATGAATTTTGGGACTTGCACACAGACTGTTGGCCAAAGAGGAAGAAGTGGGGGAAAGGGAGTGTTAGCTCTGCTGCTGACCAACCACGCACAGCACAAGTTCCCAGGGAAGGCAACTCCAGCCCTGTGGAACAGGACACCCCCTCGAGGACTGAGTGCTGGGGTAAGACAGTGTCTGCATGGCCAAAGCATCTCGGCTATGGTCTGGATCTAAAAAGCTGGTCATCCGGCTGCCCCCACACTTGAGAGCCACGTAGAGCTTGGCCAGCTGAGAAGAAGTCAAGGTTATCTAATAATAAATGCAAACATCAAGATTCCAGAATGGCATCCTCTGTGCCAATCATGCAGGGGTGGACATGGGTGTGTGTGTGTGTGTGTGTGTGTGTGTGTGTGTGTGTGCGTGAGTGTGTGTGCCTATCTACGCACTTCCTTTATGTCATGGGTCTCTAACATGTATTAGAATAAACGTAGCAGTACACACACATATAAAACCTGATACAAAACCCTAGTATTGTTGTCAGATAGATATTCACATTATTTTACTGAAATAAAGTTCAGAAATTAATAAAAAGCTTACCTTGAGCTGCTATGAATTTATTCTTCTCTTTGTAACCCTAGAAAAATAAAACCAGATTTATAATTATTCAGAATTAACTCTAATGACAGGCTCTCTTGTTGTTAGGAAAGGAATATGCACTCACCATAGAATATTTGGAAGAGAGGGAAAAAAATAGAAGGAAAAACCTCACTAGTAATTTCAAAAATAAATGCTATTTTCACATGTCCCCTCTCTAATGTTTTTTCCCCTGTGAATTCCCCTCTCCACACACACACAAGCAGGCACACAAACATTTACAGATTTTTAATTGGGCTAATATGTAGAAGTCCTTTGGAGCCTTGCATTTTAAATGAGAATTTTATAATGTACATTAAATGATCTTCTAAAGATCAATGAAAATGAGTTCTTAATAATCTGTCACATATGGTATCATCACAGTTTATTTAACGAGTCACAATTTACTGAACTGGTTCTAGTTTGTCAGTAACATAGAACCTTAGTTCATGAATTCGGTTCTCTCCTGATTCTGGTCACAAACCAAAGTGGATGAGAGCGGAATCACATTTCCTCATAAAATCAAATTGAACCTAACCACCGAATTTGATTTGGTTCTCATCCAACTTGGTTTGCAACAAGAATCGCAGAAAGAATCAAGTTCGTGAACTGAGGTACCACTGAACAGTGAACATGATAAGTTATCTCTGAGCTATCCTTGACTTCTTGGAAACAGATTCCCCGATGCAGATGCTAGCTGGGAAAGTGTGGGTGGATTCATGCTCTCAGGAATGTGAGTGGCCAAACTGCCCCAAAGGGTGGTGACAATGTACATTCCGGCCCTGGAAAGGAAACTGTCCTTGATCATGACTCAGACTCAACCCCCAAATGCCCAGTGGATGTTTTTGTGTTGGGTCAAGAGAATGGGAAAACGGTCAACTTACATCTATGTAGGAAGCATTAATGTAGTCTGAGCAGGAAGCTCCATCCCCTTGGCTCAAAATCACTCTGGAATGATCATCTAGAAAAGACCAGACAAACCCATGATGTTATGATAAGGACTCACAGGTGCCCTATATTTATTTCATCTAAAGCAGGAACCATTAGAAAGGATGTACTCAGCTCCCCACAGTGGTCATGGGGTAGAAGACACATCTCCCTAAACATTGCAGTGGGGGTTGTTCGTACCCTGAGATGGGGAGGCATGTGTTACACTGGTCCTTGACTAGGCCTCAGCAGTAGACTGGTGACAGTTCCAGGACAGGGTCTGCTGAATGACCACACAGACCTGGAGTAGCAGAGTGCTGGATCCCCTACACACGGTGGCCATTTTTCTGACTCCCACTTTGGGCCCAATACTGAACAGTGTATGTGTACAGAGGTGAGCCTAGGTGCAAGAGCCAGCCCATTCTTCCAGGCTTTCTGGGACAAGTGGGTATGAAGGGTGGGCTGGGGACTCTGAGTCCCAATCCCATCCTTCACTGTCTGCCCCAGAGCCAGAAGTAAGCAGGGCTCACGCAGATACAGACAGGGCATGCTGGTCCCTGCCCAGCAGACGATGGCCTGCTGTATGGGAAGCTCAGCAGAGTGGGAGGCCGACTGGCAGTGCTGTGTGTATGTGTGTGTGTGTGTGTGTGTGTGTGTGTGTGTGTGTATGTGGTGAGGTATGTGTCATGTATTGTGTACATGTATATTATGTTCTCTGTGTTATATTTTGTACAGTGAATGCTAGATGTATATAATATATTTGAGGTACATATGTATGTGTTGTGTATGTGTTACGTATGTGTCTTGTGTATTGTGTTGCATGAGGTTCTGTGTGTGTGCAGTATGGTACGGTGTGTGTGTGATTATACTGTGCATATTATATGTTCTCTATGTGGTACATGTTGTGCTCTGTGTGGTATATATGTAGTATGTATGTGTGTTGTGAGGGTTAAGTGTGTGTACTTGTATGTGTGTTGTGTGTGTGACATGGTATGAGTGGCTCCTGTATAATGCAGCATGTGGCATGTGGCATGTGGTGTGGTGTGTGTGTGCCTGTCAGAGAGGCCATGGTTAGTTCTGCTTTCATGGGCCTTTCATCCATAAAAAGACAAAAAATGTTTTGCCACTGTGTTAGTGATTAGTGAAAGGATAGCTGGATTATATACATATTATTTTTCTGGTTTTAAGGAAATAATAACATTTTCATATCCCTGAAAGTACTGTGGACCACAGTGCCCCTCCCGGTGGGGCAGTGCAGCTGGTTGCCCTCCAGAGGGGGGCCCCAGACAAGGCAATTTAGGAGTGTTTGGAGGTTGGAGCATGGTGGGTGCTTAGGACCTGTTTCCTGGGTTGTTCTGATTAAGTCCACATCCTTGTCCTCCTCTCTCACCCTGTGGCCTCTCCTCTCAGTGGAGGCTGTGTCTGTGGGTGGTGCTCGGGCCACACCTCCACCACACCCTGCTCATCTCACTTTTACCTGGAAAGCCACTAGCCAGGCCACAGGATGGGGGGCTCAGGCCCTCATGTCTGCTCTTCATCGCTGGACTAGATCTCTGTCCCTGGCAGAGGAGGGGACAGCGGAGCTCTTGGGACAGTCATGGCCCAGATGTGGAGGGCAAGGCATCAAATCCCAAGCTACGGCCACACATTTCACCTCAAGACCCTCCTGCTAAGGGGCTGACAACCGGAAGTCGGAAACAGCTCTGGCTGAACACGTCACACTGGTTGAAAATAATTTGGGATGACTTACACTTTAAGGATAGCCATAGAAACACCAAGGGTAAAAAATAGCCTTCTGGTTACATTTTGAATCTTGTAGTTTCTAAGAGCTTCCTGTTTTCTCATTCTAAAAAGTCACACTTCGCTTTCAAAGCACATTTCCTAAAATTATCAGCTGTTGGTATTTTTCCAGAAAATAGGACTTTTGGCCGCGGAGCCCTTTCACAAGAACAAGTTTGACCTCTGGGTCTGTCCTCAGACCTCCCTGTCTGCCCCCAGCCTGGGGAAGGTCGGCAAAGGCACGGAGGCACCCGTGGCTGTGAGTACTGGGGTGGCTGTGGGTACTGTGCTGCCTCTCCTACTTCCCCTGGTGATTTAAAGCCCCACCCTGATAAGAGCTGGGCTCTCTCAGCTTGGCCCTGGAAGCCCTAAGAGCCCTTGTCTGCTGTCCCAAGGCCCAGCTGACAGTCCTGGACCCAGCAGGGGCACCAACGGTTCCTTTGAGCAGCTGCTTAATGGTCAGGCCTTTCCCCCATCCAGGTGCCGCCTGCAGTCCTCACCAGGCACAGTGTCTCCATGCCAGTGTCCCTGAGACCCAATATCCCACCCATGTGAAACACGCCATGCCTAGGCAGTGAGTGTTCCTGGACACCTGCCAGCACCCCTGAGTGCCTGTGGAGTGCCCCATGAGGTTAGGGAGGAGCTGGGGCAGTACCCTCAACTGGGGTGGGGTCAAGTGAGAATTTAGGGAAGCTAGAAATCTGCTACAGTTTCACTGTCAGGGAGGGGGCTGATTTTCTTCCGCAGTGAAAGCTAGAGAATGTGGGCAGCTGGGAGATGTGCCAGCAGGAGGCCCTGCTGTCTGGGGGCAGGATTCTCAGGCGAGGCAGATGTGCCACTTGGGTGGTAGAGGTGATTCTAAACCTGTCCATTGATTCTGTTCCCACTGAGGTCCCACTGGAAATATCCCTACCCCACCTTTACTGGGGAAGAAACCCAGGGCTTTGCACATGCTGAGAAAGTGTTCTACCACTGAAATACTCATATCTCCAGCCCGAGAAATACTCTTAGCAAACAATGACAATATTACCTTTGAGGGACTATGGGCTTTGTGACTGAGAAGTGCAGGTTAGGAACCTGGGAACTGGCTGGTGCTGAGTAGGTCCTCAATACACACAGGTAAATGAACGCATAAATAAGTGGATAAATAAGGTAATTAAGTTAGAAACTGACACTAATCTCTAATGTCCTGATTTTTTTTTTTTGTTTGTTTGTTTTTGGTTTTTCTCCGGTACCGGGAACTGAACTCACGACATTGCACTTGCCAGGCAGGCGCTTTTGCCGCTGAGCTAAATCCCCAGCCCCCTGATTTTTATTTGACACAAATCACTCATAATGAGCCCTGACCTCCTGCTGCCGTGGTCTTCCTTCCCTCTGAGCTGACTGAGTCATACAAGTGCCTCCTCTCTTCTTCAAATCCTAACAGCCTGTCCTGTAGCAGATCCTCTGGACTGGTCTCCCTGTGGGCCCAGAATTTAACCCAGGCCAGCCCTCCCTTACAGTTAGGTGCCTAATCCTCCCATGACTATCCTTACAAATGAAAGATTATTTGATTAACTTCTCTAGTTTTACTTGGATCACTGTGCTTTGTAAAAGCCGTATATAAATTCTCTACATGTAAAATGGGAAAATATTATTTCTAGAAAGTGCTGAAGATCCAAAACCACAGACTGGACAGACCATAGCTTCTTGAACAGACAGAACAAATAGATACAATTCTCATCTTCAAAATACAGCTAGAAGTAACAAGCTAAAGCCCACTGCGGGCTAGCTTTCTGGTCCCAGGAGGCGCTGCCTCAGGGAGGTGGTTCTTTGGACCAGGCAGAGGTCTGGGCTCAGGTTCAGAGCACTTTGAGGTTGCTATTCTGCTAACCCAAAGAGCAAAGTTGTCCATAGGTTGCAGTCGGCCAGGTCAATTTTTACAAAGGTGACTGGGAACTTACAGGGTTGTTCTAGCACTGGGAAGGCTGTGAAAACCACCCCCAAAGCATGGCCCTCCAGCTGCAGCAGGTCACAAGAAGGCCAAGCACACAGCTGTTGGTACCCCAGTTCTGACACCTGCTTGGCACCCACGCAACCTAGCCCATGGCCACCATTTGCTGTTGGGGTTAAAGTTGGGTTGATGCTGAGTTTTCCCACAAAGGTGCCAAACCCGTACAGTTTTCTTATATTGCCACTTTTGTTCTTGATCTAAGACCCCAGAGGATGCTGGGGTCTTGCTGCCTGTGGCCAAGAGCCCTGGGTCCAAGGCAGAGGAGCTACCCAGCAGGTCGAGAGTGCGGCTGAATCTGATAGAAGGGCCCCTGCCTGCTGATGCCGAAGGCTGCGAGGCAGCACCTTCCCCTGGGAAGCCCAGACTTCAACAGCAAGCATAGGTCGAGGGGCTAGAAGGTGAGCGGAAAAGGTGCCCAAGCCCTGTGAGGGAACCAGGTACCCAGGAAATGCTCTGTTGTCCCTAGTGCAACGCTGAGCAGTTCTGTGGACAGAGGGGCTCTGATGGCTGAGCACCAGTCAGACGGTTATGAAGGAGCTGCAATATAATGCTGAGTTTAGTCCAAACGTGATTGATAGTGCAAAAAATAAATAAATAAAATCTTACTGGGAAGGATGTTGGGATATCTGTTTTTTTCTCTGTTTTCTTCTTTATTTGCCAGTTCAAAAGTTCCTTGTGTGTGTCCAGATGGCAACGACTGGAAAAAAAATGTAGAGTTAGCACTAAATACGAGGCATCCAAGCGCTGCACTCCCATCAGCTTCCTCCCTGGGCACAGGAAGTGAAACACATCTCAGAGCAAACCAGCTTGTGCTCATCATCTCAGCTACACTAAGACTGGCTCACACACCTCACCACATCGCTGGCCCCACAGGCTTGCCCCAGAGCAGGCTCTCCCCAAGCAGGAGTGGGCTGACCCTAACAGAGCTCTGACCTAGGAGACAAGACAGACAGGGATGCTGATTTTAGGGAGAGGCTGAGGATGAGAATGAGGAGAAAGAGCCTGGAAGGAGACCTTGGACATGGTATTAACTTTACTCGGAACTCAAAGTGCTCTCTGTGGACCAGTTATATCAAGGTCTTGGAGGTGGTCAGAAATGTGGATTCTCAGGGATCCTCCCAAACACTGAATCAGCACCTCCATCAGTAACTTTCCCAGGGACCTGGTCCTCTTATTGCTCTAGACTCCCCACCATAACAACCCCTGTTGCTCCAGACTCCCTACCTTAACCACCTTGTCCCAGGTGAGGAACTGGAGGTGTGAAACGATGCTTCATGTGCTAGGACATGCAAACTGATAAGTGGCACACTTGGGCTTAAACTCAGCTGTCTGGACTTCTAGTTCCTTTTCTTATCTGGAGCCACCTGCCTTGGGTTCTTAGTTGGCTCCAGCTGTTCTATGTTTGTCACTGTTTGGACTTGCTCTTCATGGTACACAAAGTAAAAGAGCATTTTGAACCTCAAATTATGTCTTTCAAGGGTAAAGCTAACCACTGGCAAGACCCAGGGGCCATGGGATCCAATAAAAAGTGTAAATATTTACTCAGTATTTACAATGTGCCAGGCAAACTGGGAGAAGCTGGGTCATCTGCTCTGACCTTTAAAGCTCACCTATCATCAGATGACACAGGGATCACCCTTGTTTGTAGGGAAGAGGAGTCTGAAACCCAAAGCAAGGGAGTTACAGATCTGTCCAGGGTCAGCAGGCTAGTGAGCAGAGGACCGTGGCTGGGATCTGTGAGTCCAGCCTGATGGGTGCTCCCTTTATCAAGCTTGGGAAAAAATGAGGACTTTTGCGTAACTCCCCTCAAGTCCCTAGCCTGGGGACCAACCTCACAGCGCAACCCCAAAGATCTCAGATCTAAGCCAAGCTGCTCCGGGCTTGCTGGCGCTTTGGGTCAGGGCCCTGTGTAAGTAGAAGCGTCTGCAATGGCAGACCCAGTCCCCCAGCAAGTGCACACAGTGGGGTGCTGTAGGCTGCACTCTTTGCTCTGCACTGGGGCCTGGCAGAGCCACTGCCACGTGAATGTGTGAATGGACCAGCCTGGTGGGTATCTCAGCAAGGCCAACAGGCAGGACTTGAGCTTGTTCTCCAGCCACCAGCATCTATTCCCATGGTCTTCCCAGCTTCCTCCTCAGAGCCATCTCAATACTGCCTCCTCGATTTTACCTAGAGACTGAATTTGTGGCAACATCCTCTATATATCCCCATTTTTTGACCCTAGCACTGGACATAAAAACCAGGCAGCATAGTATAATGGCATATGATGCTGTGCACCTGCCGAAACTCACGGAATGAGCAAGCTTTAACTGCGATAGTTTGCTGGTAGCAATGTGTCAATAGTAGTTCACCAATCATAAGTGTAGCACAGTAATGCAAGTTCTTAATGACAGAGGACACCGATGCTGTGGAGAGATGGGGTATATGTGAAGTCTGCAGTTCGTGTGCAATTTCCCTGAATGTTTAAAACTGCTCTCAAAATATAAAGCTTGTTAAAAAGTAATAAATTAAAAAAACTTCAAGACCCTCCCTGTTCCCTGGAAGGCAAGGTGGCTATGGTGTGGCGGGCAGAAGGGTAGGAGTGGTGAGGAGAGTCCAGGCTGTGATACCTCCCAGCTGTGGAACCCTGACAGTTGTACCAGGTCCAGAATGTGGCATTGCTCCTTAGTTCTCTGGGTCCACAGAGTGTCAGATGGGGTAAGGGAGGCAGAGCACTCTGCATACTGCACACTGGTAGCTGTGACCCAAGCACACACAACTGCCACCTGTACAGACCGGATCCTGCACGTTCTCTCACTGTCAGGAGACCTAGGGGTCTTGCTTGGGTGGCTCAGGGGAAATAAGCACACACCCAGGGAAGGGTCTTTGGTAATCTATTTAGCCCTGAAGTGCCTCTTTTGCATCCAGTTCAAGGAGAGGCCCCACCTGCTCCAATAACTGACAGGGGATGCTTCTGATTTGTTTTTCACACTGGCATCTTTTCTGGTGACTCCTCTCATATATTTCCATGACATTTGTCATTGGGTTGGTCCCAGAAACCCAGCTTGAAATCACTTGCTGAGATGGAGGCAAAGGAGATCCTGTCCAGAGAGGGGATTTTTTCCTTGGCCAATGGCACTCATTTTTGGGGATTTAATCTGGGGCCCGGGAACAGACTTTATTAGAATAGTCATCTGCTACCTCTGAGTGGAGACTGCAGAAATCATCCTGACACTCATTTACATGTTACCTGTCACCTTACTTTATTTACATGCTACCACAATCTTGTGGGGGTAAGGAGTATCCCCACTTCATAGATGAGGAAACAGAAGCAGATGTCAAGGGGCTGGGGATTTAGCTCAGTGGCAAAAGCGCCTGCCTGGCAAGCGCAAGGTCGTGAGTTCGGTTCCCGGTACCGGAGAAAAACCAAAAAAAAAAAAAAAAAGCAGATGTCAAATAAACAGCTCAAGCCTTCTAATGCTGGGACAGATACTAAGCATTCACCCCACTGTGCTGATCCCAATACCAGGCCTCTTTTAGCCTCAGCAAGTTCAGCTGAACTTTGTGTTGATCACACACCAAAGTCCAAACACAATGGGACTGAGCCCTTGAAGATGCACCTGGGTTCCTTTCATGATCCCTGGAAGAAGGGCTCAGACCAGTGGGCGGGGAAATAAAAGGAAGGGGTGTGAGAGCTGAACTCAAGTATGTCCCTCTGAGGACCCAAGAATGGCAGGTCCCAGCAGGCTTGGAAGAGGAATGCTGCAAGAATGTGGTCATAGGACCTGGGCAGCTCTTCCCTGGAGAGAGGGGTAAATAGGCAGCTGGCCCAGGGTGCCCTGGAAGCAGCACCAGCTCCCACCAGCTCGATCCTGAGTCCAGGGTCTTCCCAGCACCACATCTTGGCCTGCTTGTCACAGGACAAGGGAATGTGCAGCAGAGGGGCTGTGCAAAAGCAGGGCCAGAGGGTCAGGTGTGTGAGGCCTCTGCTCTGGGAGCCAAATGTAAAGAGGCACCCCAAAATTTCAGTTATCAGGAGAATTCCCATTCTAATGCTATTTCTAAAAAATCCAACTTGTTGCACAGAATCTGTTATGACCAACATAGCAAACTTTTAAATAGTCTTAGAATCAGTAACTGTAACTCAAACCAAGTCGGAGTCCAAGGCAACACGAGAAACCCATCAGAGTGCTTGTGTCTTCATTTGTAACTGTGCTATTTTGTTCACCAGAGGTAGCTTGCGTTAATTTTGAATCTTTTAAATACTATATTAAAATATGATTTATCCTGACTGCTGAGTTTTTCTGTGAGTTCTTAAATTTTGTGCCAAGGGCAAATGCTTCTCCTGCCTCACCCTATTCCCGGCCGCCCTCCCAGGGTGCGGCCCTCTCTTTTGCGGTGGTGACAGTCAAGTGGTACTGACTCAGAGCCCTCCTCAGCAAGCCCAGTGGCCAGCCAGCCTGCACTCGGAGAAACCAGAGTTGAAGGGGAAATGGAACAAACAGCGGGTGTGGAGCAGGGAAGCTTGTTGCTCCAAATATAGATAGTTATTTTGAAAATGGAGAATTCTCTTATTAAGCTGAGAGATTGCAAAACAATACTGCGTGGAGCTGGCTTTCAATATGACCTAATTTCTAAGAAAGAAAGAAAAGAAAGAAAGGACAAAAGAGAGACAAATTTAGAAACAATAAAAGGAAGGCAAAAAAAAAAAAAAAGGCAGATGAGCCTTGTGCTAAAAAATAAGCAAAATACAGTTTAGGTGTGCCATCCACTGCTGTGCCCGTGTGGGTTGTTTCTGTATGAAAAGTTAGTGATCAGCAGGAGCATTGACATACAGTCTCTGGGGGCTACAGCTACACAACCCTGGGCTGTTTGTGAAGCCCTGTGTCTGAGCCTCACATTTAGTTGTAAGCTAATTAAAACAGGCCCACACCCCCACCCCACCCCCACTTTGTAGGTGGTAGAAGCATCTTGGAGTTGGTTAAATAATGTGCTAGGGCCAGGGTGCAACAGGCAGAGCGCCTGGACACTGCTGCAAACCTGTTGAAAACCCATCTCTTTCAGGCTCAATCTGCAGCACACAGTCATGTGCCCGAAGATGAGGAAGCCTACAGCAAAATTCAAATCATGTACTGTTATAAACACTGAGTCTCAAAGTCCAAGGTGGCGCTTCCCTATGTGCATGTGTTTGTATACATACATATATCAGATTCAAAACTCAGAGCATTAAATAAAAAAAAAAAATAGCACTAGGGGAAGTTTGTCATCAGTGTACGTCTGTATATCTTGTTGAGAGAATCAGCTTGCTACTGCAGGGACAGTATCAGCTGGTTCAATCCGTGGTCTGAGCAAGCTGCTGCCCATGCTGGGTTTATGGAGGCAATGCACCACCCCACACACCAGAAGCAGGATGCATACAGCGGGACTGTCGCTTACACTCACACACAGCACAGACATCAAAGGGCTGAGCTTGTGTCTCCTGAAGGGTGTCCCCATGACTGTTTGACTCAGGCCGGGATATGGCTCAGGACATTTCCTACTCCAATCAGAAGCTCAAATTCTTAGAAGCCATGAAAGGACAGTTGGGGGCTCCATGGCTTTCATCCTGTGCTGGCTCAGGATCTCCGACATTGTGGAGGTTATGGTGCTTTTGTCACAATTGACTTCAGAGTGTGCCGCTCTGAGTGTCTGAGCAGGTTGTTGCCCTCATGAGCCTCACGCCAACCATCTCACCTTAGAAGGAGCCACGAGTGCCAGTGAGAGGCACTGCACCAGGGCCCAGAATCCTGTCCAAAGCAGGCATGGTGTTACAGTTGATGCAAGTGTCTGAGGCCTTGGAAGACTTGACTCTGGACTGTCATTGTGTACCTTGCAGTGCTTAGCAGGAACAAGACCCAGGGCAGGACAGGACAGGAACACAGGACCCAGGGACACTTACATTGAACTCTTCTCTGAACTGCTTGCAGTCATCGGCCGAGCGCACACGGATCTCCTCCTCCAGGTGCTCCACAGGGATGGGGAAGTACTTCTTCGGCCCTGATGGGGATCTGCTCAGCAGCATCACTCTCTGCTGTTCTGTGGGGTCAGAGAAATGGGGTTGGGGAGGCATTTAGCCCACCCCAGGTGGGTGACTCAGGAGTCAGACGAACGTACAATATTCCTGAAGAAAGGCTTGGATAGCGGGGAACAGTCCTCTCAGTCACATAGCCCAGAGTGGCCAGGGCCCTGAGAACCTGAATCAAACATCCATCTCCTGCCATACAGCCTGTGCTCTGCAAGTGAAGACCCTTGGCCCTCACAGGCACGGCATCCCTCACCCTACTCGCTCAGCCACCCACCTACCTGTCCTAACACACATCTGCTCCTTCCACAGAGGACACCTCAGCTCAGGTTTCCAGGTTCAAAGCTAGGGGAGGATAATTATAATTGTTCTGGGATGCAAGCTCAGAGCAGACTGGAAATCTACTAGGATAAATGACTCTCTTAGTCCCCTCTTCTTTATAACAAATAGCTCTGGTTCCCCAAACCTTGTAAACTCCAAGTAAGAGAAACCGTCCTTTGGGTTGGGGCAGTAGGGCACTCTCAAGAAGGGTGAGAGGCAAGGAGCTGCACAGACAAATTCCTTCCAAAGTTCAGTTTTCTTCTCAGATGCAAGAAAAGCCAGGGGGCTGGGCTTCCCTGTCTGAGGAACAAGGTGATACCGACAAGGTCAGAAGGATAACTGGGTTGACACGCTTGCAAAAGGGCCCGCCCCACCCTCAGAGCCAGCTGAGGCTCCTTCCTCCAAGAGATGGAAAGGTGGACAGGAGAGCAGTTGGGCTTCTCTCCCTCTCCCTGGCTGCCCTTTCTTTCCTCCTTTTAATATCTTGTGTTGGTTTGAAAATTTCATTTACAGTCTGACAGCATGTGTTTCCCCAAACCACAGCACAGTTAGGTAGGAAGCTGACAACAGGAAGTTGTAGTCACTGGTATGAACCAGTACTTTTTTTTAAGCCTCTGTCATAGTCACTGTTCTCAGTCATCTCTGTGTGTTGAAAGAAAGCAACAAGCTTTCACACAAAGCATTTACAAGTTAGAAACTGCTCTTTGGATCTAAAAGTTGGAAATGTCACTGACTGATCTTCCGTAAGCGGGCAGTTTTAGCAGAGCAATCTCTATCTCTTCAGCTTGATTGTAAGACAGTACAACGTCAGATGGACACTTCAGATTATGAACCAGTCTTATCATAGACTGATTTTTAAAGGCCTTATTGAAAAACATTACGTGTCAAAACCCTGTGAAAAGGACAGGATATGAACAAGCGCTCAAAAAAGAAAAAAAAAAAAAAAAGCCACAAACTGAAACATCTTAGACATCCATTTCACACAGGAGGAAAAAGCAATCGCTAAAACAAACTTTTGAGGAGGAAAAAGCAATCGCTAAAACAAACTTTTGAGGAGGAAAAAGCAATCTCTAAAACAAACTTTTGAAACACAGAAACTCTGTGGTAAATGGTAAACTCTTAGTAAATGGCAGTAAAATACCAGGTAGGGTGAGGTGAAAAGTTGCAAAACCGGAGGAACTTAAAACATGCTTTAAATGGTATGGAGAGAAAACAAGCTAATGGCTGTTAAGAAAGACCCAGCCTGAGGAGGAAGTGCCTGTACCTTGCTCTTCCAAGATCCCGTTGGGCATCTTCTTGTCGTTGCTGCTGACCACGGCTTTCCTCTGCTTCCTGAACCTTAGAGGCACAAGACTAGTTAGGTCTCTGCACACCCAGACTTCCGGGAAGCCCCAAGCCCTGGGTGTGGTGATACCCACCAGGTGAGCCTGGTGAAGCTCTTTCTGCTGCTCATAGCTGAGTTGTGCTAGGGCCTGGCTGGCTGACCGTGCCTTAGCCTCCTGGCCCCAACCCCGAAGCCTCCAGAAGGCTCATTTCCTCATCTGAGCTGGTTGGGGCAAAGCAGCGCCCAGGGACACTCCTACCTGAAGAAGTAGGCGGCGAGGAGGAGCAAGAGGAGGAGCAGCAGCATAGGCAACAGCAGCCAGGTGAGCAGCGACTGGGAGGTGTCAGTGTCCGGAGGGCCTACAGGCGGGGGTGGACTGTGAGGACCGGGGCAGGGGCAAAACCCTTCCTCCTGCGCCAGAGCCTCACTTCGTAGTTTGTGAAGTACTCCTACCATCTTGGCCCGCGGTGTCAATAAAGGCACCCCAGGGGAAAAAAAGAGTGATTTTTGTTGCTGTGGACACTGAGGAAGAATCCAGAACTGGGGATGGAGATGGACTTTAATAGGGAAGAACCTTCCTGGCAGTGCAAGGCCCTGTACTTGCTGGCTTAGCTGGGGCGGGAGCCCCAGCATAGGAAAACAGATACATCCTCACCTTTTATCCACCTTCTGGGTCAAGCTTCTTCAGCCAGAGAGAGACACATCCTGGACCTAGTGCTGCAGCCTTGTGGCTGCCCAGGACCTTCTCTGGCTCCATGTGCCCAACTTCTGAAACCACTGGCAATTTCATTGCCACCTACGACCCTGTCTCCTCTCCCCAGCCTTCCCTGCTGCACCCTCCTTATCCCAAAGTTTCTGCCCCAAGGGCCACCATGGCCCCTCCTCCAGGAATTCTGCTTGCTCCTTTCCCTAGCTCCAGGGGATGCTCAGGGGCCCGGGGAGGCACCACAGCCCTGTCATATCCCCAGCACGTCTCACTCCCATATATATTTTGAAGGCTGTGGTACTTGGTCAGGTGTTCAGATCCGTACCAGTTGGGGTGTCTGGGAGAGTCGCTTGGTCCCTCACTTCTGACCTAAACCTGCCACTGCCCACCACAGTTTCCCAGCAGGAGCGGCCTGGCCCGTGGCCCCTGACACCACAGGCCACATCAGGTAGAACCTTGGAGCAAACCCTAGCCCAACCTGATGGGGTGGGCCGGGTACCCATGACTTGACTCTGTCCCTTCTCAGCCCAGTGGAGTCATGCGGTCAGAAAGTGTAGGAGGTCTCCCCTCCCTGCTAGGCACCCACTCTCTCTCCTTTCCTGGGGTTCTGTGGTAGTGAAACTCCCTACTTCTACATAGCCCAGAAGTCGAGCTCTGACTCAGCTTCTGTGCAGGTGGTAGCTAAACTGGCCAGTCTGTGGGGTCCACCTCTCTGGAGAGAGGGGAGCACTAGAGCCTATGCCCTTCTATGTGGGTGGCGGCTGCTTAGCTCAGCCCACTGGGGGAAGGTGGGCCAGGCTGTCTGATTCCCCCGAGGTTCCCAAAGAAGAAATCTACAGAATTACATGAGATTTCTCATTTTAATTATTAGTAATTAATTCAATTTGAATGCAATTTTGAAAAACAGTGTGAGCAAGAGAAGAAAACCCTGAAAGTGCTGGGCTGCTTTTTCCCTGGGTACTAGCTGTACTACCCCTCCCCTCCGTCAGCGCGGGTATCGAGGCATCTGAGAGCCAACTCTTGAGTCACATTCTGGTTCCATTTCAGGCTGATATGGCTCACGCTTGGAAGAGAGAGGGTTGGGCTGGGGGTGGCTCCAGGGTGGTGAGTGGGAAGTTTGGAGCAACCTCCTCCCCAGAGGGCTGACAGGCTGCTGAGTAAACCCATGCACACCTATGTTCACACATTCATGCATATGAACACCTGCAAGTTGTGCATGCATGTGCCTGCTTGCTTACATGGAACCTGCTCCTCAAAATGGAAAGTCATTGGCTGGGCTGTGAGGTGGGGCCTTCAACCACTGGTTCCACATACCTGTCCCTCGACACCCCATGAGCCTCCTGCTGTGGGGAAGCCCTGTGGAAGGGAGGCATGGCCAGCCCAGAAGGAGGAGCAGGGGGGGCAATTGTGGACTGCTCCACCTCTGGAGCCTCCCGGGGAGAGGAAGAGTAGGGTAAAGGACAGGAGAGGAGGAAGGGACAGTAGACGGGGCACAGAGTGAGAAGCTGTGCTCTGGGGCTGAGTAGAGACAGACCCTGGAGGACCCAGCTGTGGGTGGGAGCTTGGGACCAGCTTCCCAGGAAGACGACCCTAGTGTCACTGTGTCTCCTCCCTCCACTTGGTCAGGTACAAGGAAAATAGGATAGAGTATAGAGGCCTCTTGAAAAATGTTCCAACCAGCACAAAAATAAAGAGCAAATGTGCAGCCTCTCCCTGAGTCTTGAGTCTTTCCTTGAGTGAAACTGAGTTAAAATCTTGGAGTATGTCTTTCCCCATATTTTCTTCTATAAAGTTACATTCATAAATATGCAGCTTTGGAAAATAAATGGACATCCTACTCTCATTTCATCTCAGGCTACGAGGATTGTAAAAAGTACCACTATCCTATGAACGATTAAGGCAGAAAAACAAGATACTAATTATAATTGTGAAGAGCTACCAATTTTAAGACAGATCCCAAGATAGCAATGCTACATATGAAAAAACAGATGAGACACACTCTCTGGTAGTCCACAGCTTGTCTTTCTCATCCTGTCTTGGAAAGATTCCACATCAGCATAAATGAGCTTCTAAATCCTGTGTGCTGGCTGCCTAGATTACCACGTTTTGGACAGACTAGGACTGCATGGACAGTTAGGCTGTTTCCACCTTTTTTTCTATTATCTACAATTCTACAACTGGGTCTATATCATTTTTGTGTATCTCACTAGTGCTTCTGTGGGAGAGCTCCTCAAAGGATCTTCTGTGTCCATTGCACACATATTAAACTTTTAATAGAAACTGTCAAGTCGCCCTCCAGAAAGTATGTAACCTCTACACTCATCCTTATGTACAATGGAGCCATTTTCTCTGGGATTTTACCTTTTCATTTTCTTAAGCTGATAGCTATAAGCATAATGCCACTTTAATTTGCATTTCTCTCCTTTCTAGAGGGTTTATCATCTTGTCATAATTAGTGAAGCATAATGAATCAGATACTTTACTTTGCCTGGTCATGTTCTTTACTTATTTTCTTACTGTGTTCTTTTGCATATTAATTTTTAGAAATTCTTCCTATGATGCAAGTAATCACATTTTCATTCATAACTAGTACATACAGAATGTACCTTTAATTCTCTGTATAAAAATGTATCACAATGAATACTGAGTTCATTTGGTCAATGAACAAATAAAATGAGTTCCTGTTACTTTGGCACATTGTGATGATGTGTTAACATCTCAAATGACACATCACACTTCTTTCAGGGGTTCGGTGAAGGCTTAAGGAGCATTTCACACAGCTGGGCTCCCCACCTGCTCAAAGTTCTAGGCCCAGGAGCCCATCTGCACCTTAAAACCAGAAGCTGTGTCACTTTTGGGTGTGCAACCAGCTGCTATCGCTAAGTGCGCTGAGACCCAGAAAAGGCTGTAACGAGGAGTTTCACATTTGCTCCTGTTTTGGGTGTTGAGGTCACATGACAGAGCTCTCTTCCTGAAAGTAGCACCTCCCTGACTGAGGCAGTATTCTAAGCCAATAAATTTTGTTTTCAGAGAAACTAAAAAGCTCCGTCATCCTGCTGGAGACCACAGTGCCAGCTTTCAGAAGAGTTCAAAGTGCTCTGGCAGATCCTGCCGCACCTCTGGGAAACGGCTCCCGGAGGTACACAGGTACAACCTGGCAATCTTCCAGGTGTCCCTAAATGGCCAACCGATCAGCATTGGCAAGGGAAGTCGGGAACCGGGGTTGAATTACTTCGCTGAGTGTTCCAGCAGGTATCAGTCATCAGCCATAGGGATTCGGCATCTGCAGTGTCCCAGGTCTCAGGACATGGCTGTTGACCTGTACCTGGAGAACAGCTCGCAAATGGGGCAGCGTGACGCATAGGGCTAATGTGTGCTGGCAGCTCCTGGGCTTTCCTTTCAGTGACTTTGGGTTTCTCTGGTGTTCCAGTGTGCAGAAGGGGACAGGAGGGCACTTGAGGCTGCTCTCCCAGTTGAGGCCTGCAGCATCAGCCCAGCATAACTCCTTCCCTCCCCTTCAGGCCGATGGGGTGCACTTGAAAGAAATATTATAAAGTCCTTGAGTGGGGTGGGCCTTGAGCCCTAGCTAAATGATACCAATTTTAAATTGCTTTTCCTAACAAATTTTTTCTAGAAGGACACTGATCATTTTGTTTTCTTTAAGCCCTGCAAAGACCCATAATTTTATGGGTCCACTTGACTGGGCCATGGTTGTCTGGACATTCAATCTAATATTATTCTGGTCTGTGTGTCTCTGAGTGTGTCTCTGTGTTTTACTTGGGTGAAAAATTCTGAGCTTGTAGACTGAGTAAAACAAATGTCTCATCCAGAGTGGGTGGGCCTCACCCAATCAGGTGAAGGCCTGGCTAGTAGAAAGTTCTCCTGCTGGACATTCTTCCTACTGTGACAGCTGCTCTTCCTGGTCTCACAGCAGTCTGCTGATTTTTGGAATTAACCTGGGGCATTGCTTTAAAGATTTTGGCCTTACCAGCCTCCATAACTGCACATGCTATTTCCTTATAACAGATATGTATTTATACCTTCTTATAATATATATTTTATAAGCAGAAACATTTCAATTGCTGATAATACATAGACGGTTATACATTTATATCTCTATATATCCGGTTTTCTTTGGGGAACCCTAACGAGTGATAAGCTGACGGGAGAGTCACGTGGTTTGGTGTCCCCCAGTGTCGGGGAGTGGAGTGGGAAGGGGACAGAGCAGGTGCTTGGGGCAGCACCGCACAGGCACTGGGCCTGATGCTGAGGGAGGGATCCGTCCCTGCTGCTTACAGGTTGCCCCCGATGCTGCCACTGGGGGGCGCTGCAGCCACAGAGAGAGTGGCTGTCATAGACAGCTACAAGTCGTAGACTTCCCCCAGGGAATCCTTGTGAACTCCTTGGAACCCTGAACTCACTCACTGGGCGTGGGTTTCCCTGTGTTAGGCACTGTCCAGCAAAATGCTTACGAGGGCCCCAGGCAGATGAGCACCGCCTTGGGGCACAGTCTCTGTGGGCCACACTAGAGGCCAGGGATGAGGAGTGGGGCCTCAGCATTCCGGGGTGTGTTCAAGTGCACGCGCGCCTTATTACCTCCACCTCACAAACGGGACACAAGGCACAGAGCAGCTCAGCGCTCCAGGTCACTCAGCCTGCAGATAGTGGCCAGGGAGCCGTAACCCCAGGCACTGTGATTTTTTTTCCTTCTTCCTTTTCCTTTCCTCCCTTTAACTCTGCATAGTACTACACATTTTACTGAGGTAAAATTTGCATACTATGAAATACACCCACTTTAAGCACCCAAGCCGGTGAGATTTAGTAAATTCACAGTGGGGTACAGCTGTCACCACAGTCCACATTAAGAACATTCCCACATTCCCTTGAGGTTCCTCTGCCTTGTGTGGTCATTCCCATCCGGGGCACTTCGCAGCATGGACTCACATGCCGCATGCTCCTCGGTGACCAACTTGTTCACAGAGCCAGGTCCTGAGGTTCTTCTGTGCCAGTGCGTGTGTATCGATGTGCTCTTTTTTTGGCTAGGCCAGTGCTCTGCCACTGAGTCACATGCCTAGCACTTTCTAAAATTTTGTGTTGAGACAGGGTCTCTCTAAGTTATCCAGGCTGGCCTCAAACTTGTAATTCTCTTGCCTCAGCCTCCCAGAGTGCTGGGATTACAGGTATGTGCACCACACCCAGCTCAGAGGACACTTATTCTCCTTCCTTTTGACTCTTAAATCATACAAAAGGAAGAGCAGAGTAATTATATCCCTAGCGCGTGCCACTGCCCCGACCGTTCTCACCAGGACAGCACAAACTCTGCTCATTTGTAGCTTTATAGCTTTGTCCACATCCTGCCCCCTCTCCCTCTTCTTCAAGTCAGCCTTAGAAATTATAATACATCCCTGAAAGCTCCCACGGGCATCTCTAAAAGATACTCTTTTTATAAAAAAGAAACCTCACCACATTACCAATATAGAATATGGACGGCAGACGTTGCAGCAATATAATTAGAAGCACTAACCATTCATAGCCGCGTCACGTTTCCCCTATCTGTTCCTCAGATGGTTTGAATTGGGTTCTGCACAGTGCTTTTGGGGGATTTTAAAATCTTGTGCTCCCCGCTTCCCTCTCAGGCGGGGGCCCACTGACAGCAAGAGTGTGGACTCAGTCTTGAGCACTCTAAGCTTAGCGCCAGGAAATCCTGAATGCTCAGCTTCCCAGCCTGCCTGTTTACTGACTACACTGAGAAAATCAGCCGCACCTTTCTTGTCTCATTTTACCCACCTTGATCATTCACATCCGGTCCTAGGACACGGCAGTGGGGAAGGTGGCGTCGTCCTTACCTGTGGTCGTGGTGGTCCAGTTGCTCTCTGCGGGGGTGGTCTCGTTGTCCTTGCTGGCCCTGGCAAGTGGCCAGCTAAAACTGGCCAGCAGCAGAGGACAGAAGGGCTCCATGGCAAACCTGCAGGGAGGTGGGGACAGACTCAGAGAAGTCACCCACTGCAGGCCCTGGAGACCCCTGTCCTGTGTGGTGACCAGGATGGGGAGAAGAGCCCAGAACTGCACTCTCTGCTTTCTCAGATCACCTTCCTTCATCTTCACTGCACTGGGGGCTGTAGTCACTGTCACCACTCCGGTGCAAAGGAGGCAGCTCAGAGGTCCAGCGTTGCTGGTGGGTGGTAGGGGCACAGCGGGTACTTGAGCCCAGGCCCTCCCCTCCCCACTCACTGGGATTGCATCCGGATGGCTCACCTGGCATCCTGGAGCCTTTACCATGTGACCCCCACCCTTCCTGCTGGCCTCATCTCCTTTGGACCAATGGCACTTTTCCCACCTAGCAAGGTCTGTACTTTTCACTTTTTCTTGGCCCCTCTCTCACTCTACTGAGCAACTCACTCTTTATGGCCCTGCCTAGAGGCACCCTGGGTCTGGACAGCAGGCTCATGGAGCAGCTTTGGGGCCCCTCCCTGTTTGGCCATGCCAAGCTCCTCTTGCACAGAGCCGCTGTGTGTCTCGGGAAGGGAGGTAAATATTTACTGGGTGTTGGGTGGGTGCAGTGGGGCAGACACAAGTACAGAATGGTTCAACGCAGAAAAAGGCTCTTGCTGGAGACCTTCAGGTGGTCCCTCACAGCCCCCTGGTGCTCCACTTCACTCAAACACATTAGATTATTGTTAGAGGCCACAGTGACTGCTTGGTGATATAGAATCTCTGGCCGGAGGACTCACCGATGAGGGGCTGGGCCATGCTACCTGCCCACTGAGACTGCAGTTGAGGTGTGGGGTCCCATCCACTGAACCTCATCCATAGTCAGCCTTGGTTCTGTCTCCCTTGACAGCACTATCCTGCATGGAGCCTCCCAGGGGGATGCAAATGGACCAGGCTTCAGGACCAAGGGCAACAAACACTTGCTCCCCAGGCTGTTCTCAGGGGTCACAGTAATGTTTGCAGCTGCGGCAAGTGGTGTGAGCATGGAAGAGCCTGCTTCTCAGTAACCGGTACTGTTAAGATGAAAACATTAGGAGCACCTTGTAACAGTTAGCCCAGAGCCACTCCATAGTGGTAGTCACCCCTTTCACAGCTTTCCTCTTTTTTATTTCCAAAACACTCATTTAAGATTTATTTACTTCTTTCTGGTGCTAGGGATCAAACCTGAGCTCTCAGGCATGCTAGACAAGTGGTCTGCCACTGAGCTGCTGCCTTTGCACTTTTCCTTCTTTTTGAGACAAGGTCTTGCTAAGTTGCCTGTGCTGGTTTTGAACTGGTGATTCTCCTTCCTCAGCCTCCCAAGTAGCTAGGATTATAGGAGTGTGCTTTACATCTGGCTCCACACTGTAGGTTTATTAACTAAGTCATATATATGCAAATAGCCTTTCTACCCTGAGTGAGCATCTACTGTGTGTGAGCCCCTTTACGTAGGTATCATCCACACGATACTTCTTCAAGGACTGAGAAACGGGCACCTGGAGGGAGAGGAACTGGCCTAAAGTCGGGATAGAGATTTGAATGAGTGGTAGTTTGAACCCAGGAATGCTAGAGAAAAAGCCTTCCACGTCTTCTGTGCTGCCTTGGCCCTCCCTTGACAGGCAGCTCCGCATGCATCACCACAAGCTGCCTTTATTTTAAGCAAGTCTGTTACTGCAGATTGCCATGATATTTTTAATACATTGGAGGAAATGACAGAGTGATCGAGAAGTATTAATTGACTTAGTACAACTTTAGAGATGCAGAATTCCTGATTGAGACATTTTCTCTCATATCACACATTGATTTGATAACTCTCCTCTCCAAATGCTCTGGGATCCTAGAGGAAGCCAACACCCTTGAGAAAGACAAAGATCGTTTCACTCATCTAATAGATAGGGACGTCTGTAAGAGTTTAGCAGAGCTGCATTTCCCAGTATGGCCAGCAGAGGGCAATAAGCTAGCAGACTTCAAAACCTGCCGCGCCATCTGGAGTCTCGTTTCTTGTCCCACTTATATTCCAAGGCCAGTGATAACTCGCCCGATCATCCCCGACCCTCTCCTTTCAAAGGACTTGCACAAGCTATCTGGAAATCAAAAACACGAATCTGCACAGAAATAATTTTTGAAATTGCCGTTCAATTCATGCTGGATTTTAAGGATTTCTATTTACACAGTATTTGCTGCATGCCTGCCAAATGCTGTGTCTGGTGCATAAAACTTATATGATCTCCAGAAGTGAGATGATCAAAATAGTTTATGCCTAGCAAATCTGACTTTATTTTTACTCCCCTCAAAAGTCACCCAGCTGTCAATGTGATCAGAAATCCATCTTTTTATTCCACTTAGTAGAGTTTTTCAATATTCTTCACTGGGCAGTGAGCAGGGTCAGACTGGAGATACAAAGCTGATTACTGTCTCATCTCTGCCCTACAGCGGCCCACTGGGTGGAAGGACAGCACCCCAGCGGCTTCACTGCAAACTCTGGAGAAGGAGCCACAAGGAATGAAATTGTAGGGGCGATGGTTCATCAAACCTCCACAGAAATGAAGTGCAGAGCAAACACTGTCCAGAACAGAAGGCAGAGGGAGTGATCCATCAGCAGGGCAGGGCCTTGAAGGAAGCCGTTCTACGACTTCCTGTTCAGGCAGCTCCTTGTGTGGTCTGCTGGGACCTCTGTCCTATGGGAGAAGCTGAGATGATGAGGACGCACAGCACAGGGCAGAATGGGGGGGGCGGTTTCCAGTGCCGTGTAAGCAGGTGGCTTAGGCGTGAGAGGCTCATTTCCATCAACAGCTTGCGGGGCTGGGGATTTAGCTCAGCGGCAAAGCGCCTGCCTGGCAAGCGCAAGGTCGTGAGTTTGGTTCCCGGTACCGGAGAAAAGCCAAAAAAAAAAAAAAAAAAAAAAAAAAAATCCATCAACAGCTTGCATTATTAGGTTCACTTGAAGCCCAACTCCTGATGCAGGAAATGCAATTGCTTCAGGAGGATAGGTTTCTATAGAGTGGAGTGTGAAGACGTTGGCTATACGTTATGAGCTGCCCTGAAAGTCTAGAGAGGGAGCCCTGGACATGGTCCTCAGCTTCTGACATGGTGTGGCTGTTTGCTGCCTCTAGAGAGGTCCAGGATCTGAGCAGCAGTGCAGACTCTCAGGCCCAGCCCAGGCTTACTCCATTTTAGGGAGATTCCTGGGTGATGTGTGCAATTCCTGGGGACATTTGACACTAAGACGTAAGCCCCAGGACCTGGGGAAGGAAAAGAGGAAAGAGTGAGAGGGATTTCACAGGCAGGGCCCATGGGAACGTAGTCAGTTCACCCTGGGCTATGAGTGAAGCAGCAGAAGCACTGGGACATCCATCTTGGGAAGTGGAGTGGGAAGGTCCACCATTCATCAGCAGAGACAGGGAGAACGACTCCAGTCTGGGGACAAAGATGATTTTTAGCTTGTGGCATAAAGCAATAATACACGCTACTTTTACCTAGCTCCTATGAAGAAGTGTGATAGGCTATCTGAGGTTCTAAGATAAGTGGCCTCATCAACCATCACAGAAATTCTATGACCAATGTCCTGTCACCCATGGGGTGGAGCTGACAGGGGACGGTGGGACATCCTAGGGGACAATGCTACCATGACTTGCACTGAGGGTCTGGGGCTTGGCCCAGACGGGGTGCTGCAGAAGTGGTGGGAACATCAGGGGTTACTGGGCAAGAGTGGTGACAGCCGAGACTGTGAGTGAAGCAGGCCACTCTGTGTAGGGCAAGAGGATGGAGGGCAGGGTGGGAGCTTGGAAGGCAGCACGCAGGGACAGGGAGGGCAGGAAGCAGCAGGAGCAGATGTGTAAAAGCAGGAGAGGGATTTTCCTGCCCCTCCCGCAGGCTTCCCCTCACTCTGGCTCAAATCATATCCTCTCCCTGGGTGACCCCCTTTTACTTCTTCCCACAGCCTTTGAAACCCAGTGAGTCTGGGACCAGCTTTGTACCTGGAGTTGGGAAAGGTGACTCAGGCTTGGACCTCTCTGGGCAGGCATTGTCTCACATGCCCCCAACCCAGCCCAACTCACAGAGGGTCAGGGGTGGTAGAGAGCGATGGTGCTCAGATGCCAGGGCCCCACCCATGTGTTAGAGAAAGGAGAGACGTGGGGAACAGCGTCTGCGCTCCTGCCAAGGGTGTCACTAAAGACCAGGCACTGCGCACAATGCTGGGACCTGGAATCAGGACCTGCTCTTGCTCCAGCTCTGGCGTTGGGGCCCCAGGGGCTCCCACACAGGGCAGCCCATGACATTCAAGTCAGTCATCACACGGCAACCAGCCAGATTCAGGGTCTGAAGGAAAAGAGCCAGGATGAACAACAGCCAGTCTCATTTCTGCTTCCACAGAATTTGCAACCAAGAGGCAGACGCCCCACAGGTAAATAATCACAGGTGAGCTCACAGGACAAAAAGCACAAGGAAAGCGAAGGCCTCCTGGAGCGGGGCTGTGTGTGCAGCCCCAGTTCCCCTCCTTGCCTTGCTTTCCTGATCCTGCATGAAGATGCTGGAACTGAGAGGTGAGGAGGCTTTTAGGTCACTCTGCCCTGCCGGTGGGTGTGGAGTCCTGGGGACAGCACGGGGCCACCTGTCCACTGGGCTACGGAGGAGCTTCCTTCAGCTGAGACAGCGGCCCCCTGACACCTGTGCACAGAGCCTGGGCCATGTGTGCTGTGTACCTGCCCCCATCTTTCCTGGGAATATAGGTTATGTGCCTTTAAGAGGCAGTTGAGATAGAAAGGGTGGCGAGGCATTCACATGTGGAGACATTCCTAGCCTGGGACAGCAGTAGATTCAAGTCCACCTCCACTGTGGCTCCTTTTGTCATGAAAGGAGCTGACCAGGAGGCAGATGCAGGATGGCCCACATTCCTTAACTGGAGGTGAAGACAGCTCCTGGCTTTTCTGGAGCTTAAAGAAGGTGACTAACCTCTTTCTGGAAAGTTCTGTGATGTGCTGACACATGCTGGCA